TGCGATTACGTCAATCACTATTTTTAACACAAGTGGATATTTAGACGAAGTAATAAAAGACGTAATTTGTCTGAGTCGTGCAGTGTCGTATTTGTGAAACACATTTTGGACAATCTGGTCACGCATGGACTTGTCATAGGAATACATATGAAATTAATACAGTTAAGAGATTAAAAAATAAATTCGGGTCGAATTAAAATCAAATATCAAAGGTCAAAATAACAATGAACATCACTATACCAAATAACAGGTATTAGTACATCTACCCTGACTGGTATCAAAACGAAGTTTAACGAAGAAGGTTTCTTGTGATGACGAATATTCTTGGAACTCACAAAAGTGGTTTAAACCTCCTAATCACACTTCGGCTTCCACAAACTTTAGGACCCAATCCAAACACGTTTTACAGATAGGTTTAAAAAAATGTGCAAACGTCAATTTTATGTCCTGTCCATATAATGCTTCGAAATAGAGGAGCTGGGACCCCACTAATAGCTTCTGAAGATTCTGTTGCTTCTGGAGGCATTTAGGAATATGATGCGTAGCCCTTACTTGCAGAAATCGATAAGTCCCCCTAAATGGATACAGCAACCGCTTCTAAACCTTACGTCCATACCTTTAAAAGATGTCGGACACAACTACGTGATTTCAAAATAATTTCGTGAATTAACTTTGAGCAAACGCATATAATGTGGCGTCAGGGCAATAACAAAAATCGGAAGTTTATGAAAACAAACTCAATAATAGGACAAAATGACGCACACCTCAGATGTCTTTACGTACCTGATCACGAGGATGGTATTGAAATCCACCAAATTACTAAAATGTTGCAGTGTGCATTTAACTCATTTAAAAATTTTGGCAGAAAACAGTGAGTGTTGCAGGTTATCGCAAAACATATTGCAGTTTCTGCCCGTTTGTGAACACTAATTTTCCCTTGTATCTATGCATTACACTGACTTTCAGCCATCAAAACACCACACGAAAGTGCGGAAGGATGCACGAATTTGATATCAATCGTATTTCGGTTCCTGCAAGAGTAATAGGTACTGCACAACAGCTGATAGGGAAATTCGAGATCGAGTGCAGGTTTCCGCCAAGCTGCAAGGAAATCCGTCGAATGACAGTCATCGAAATGTACGCGAAGCTCACTCGGTATGCCAAATAATCATTGCATGAACCATGCATTTAAGCGTTCCGTCACACAAGCAATCACTAAGTGTTCAAGAACGATATCGAACGACAATTTTCATATAAATTCATCCAACAAGAGCAAAATAAGCACCGAAATTGAGTCTACTGCATGTGCTGGACGACTAGCTCCAACTCGAATCAAAGAAACCACGCAAATGCCGTCAAGGTTAAGCCAGAGGCGCCACTTCAAATAGGGGATATGCCTTATCAACGCCCGAGTGTCACTGTCGCCCTTCAACACTCTCTGGATTTTTAAGCCATCTGCGCATATGAACATTGGGGAATCTGAGAGCACCTATAACTTGATGATATATAGAACAAATAAGAGGGATCTAAGTACAGTCTCTTGTGGCACTCCACTATGAACTGTTGTCCAGGTGAAGAGTTTTGACTTGATTCTAACCCTCTGTCCCCTACCTATGAAGAACTCCCTAAATTAGTTTAGTAAGCTGCTTTTGATACCATGACTTTCCGAATTCGTCAGTAGTCTTTCGAGAGAAACTTTATCGAAAGGTTTGCAGAAGTCTATTAAAACGATATCCTTGATTTCACCCAGCCTTCTCTTGCATTGGAAAGATTTGACAGGTGTGAGAGGTTTGCTCAGAAGCCACGCTGTGCTCTGGATAATGCATTGTCGTTCTCAAGGTGTGCCGTGATACTTTACCTGGTGGTTCTTTCCACTATCTTGACCAAGGTGCTGGTGAAATTAGCAGGATTGTAGTTTGAATTAGGGGTTACAATAGCGTTTCAACAGCCACGCAGTAACACTCCATTTAGGAGACAGAGCTTGACGATCCTGGTTGGTGGGCCAGCTATATCAGCTCATAGCTCCTTGAGAAGTCCTGGGTGAAGATTGTTAGGACCCATTGACTTCCCTGAATCTAGTTTCTTTAAGCAGTTGAACTCAGTGTCTTGGTATCTTTGATGCGGCCAGAGCTGATACCATGGAGAGTGACGACTGTTGTTTAAGTACTTGGGAGAAGTAGTATGCCATTGTTTCTGCTTCTTATTCATCCTCTTCGATTGTTTCGTTGTCAGTAGTCAGGTTTGGGACGCTGTTGGATGTCTTATTGCTGAAGTTCACCTATGAAAAAATTTTCTTGGATTGTGCTATTGCATTTTTAGTCAGGTGTGTTTTAAACTTCACCCTTCACTGGCGGATTTCTGCAATAGCCTTGTTCCTGGCATCATCGTACAACTTTCCAGTCTCAGGAGTTTCAAGTGTAGTAAGTTGGTTCCTTCATTTCTGTCTACGCCTGGGTAATTTATGAATCTCTCACTTTATCCAAGAGGGACAATTTTTCCGACCCTTTGGGACAAAACAAAGGATGAAACGTTCATTTAACAGGGCGTAAAGGTGTTTAAACCAGTTCCATGTGACTTCTACTTGCGATTCTGGGTTTACTTACCAGTTCACCGAGTTGGCTGCTGAGACGGTAGCATTTATAGCAGCTTTCAAAAGTTTGGTAGAGCCGGGGTTTTCGTCCGCAATGCTTCTGCTGTGAACATGAAGGTGAGCAGGACGTGATCAATTCTCCCTGACGGAGGAAGATGTATGAGATCCATATCCTCACCGTGGGAGAACACTATTTCCAGGGTTAGAGAAGAATGCTTTGAGTCATAGTGCGTGGGCTTCATGACATGTTGGATTAGATCTAGCGAAACTCCAGATTCCAGCAGCGTATAATCAAAGGAGTTGTCTGAAGATGGCGTCGTAAATCTTATCCAGTGGACTGTTGGGGCTCAGAAATTACCAATCAGGAGACTTCAACATTTCGATGTCCAAAAGCCTGCACTGCAGTTAGGACTGCGATATATAGCAATGAGGTCAATATCTTGGCCTCTGCATTCCAGTATGCAGCGTAGAAGTTCACATCTTTCGCTTCCCTGTGTGAGAGCTACAATCCCACATACATTCGACCAGTCCTCGAGGTAGATGACTACGCCACCTCCTTGGTGGCGGTCTGCTCTACACACTATGTTTGGCCAGTTCACTTCGTAACTAGTGAAATCGGATGTGAGCCATGTCTCTGTGATACTAATTACATCCGGTTTTCAGGAGTATTCCATATTACCCAACGCAGTCTGTTTGTTCTACAGGCTGTAGGCCCTTGTGCAGTCAACTATCAACTCAGTTTGGCGCCTCAGCGGCTTACTCACGGATGTTTGGCACAGTTCACCTAATTCTAGGGCCACAGACTGCTTCCCTGACACTGCATGTTAGGCATAAGTCGGCAGAGACGCATATGCCTGATCCTTTAAGAGTTTGGGAATTGTTTAGAATGGCATCTCTCTCTTCTTTGCTGTTTAGTACGACTTTGAGAGGGCGTATTGGCTAACTTACGGTAGTCAGCCTTTTGACCGATTCCATACAAGCTGTGTATAGTTACATCTGTTGCTGTTGTTGGTGGTAGCTTACCCAAGAGGGACTTGAATAGTTCAAGTCCATGTTCATACCTGACCTTGGTACTGGAGTTCAGTTATTCTTCCACTTCAGGGAGAGTGAGCGACCTGTGGGAGGGATCAGGTCTGTTTGCGGTGGCTTTCTTGCTCCGTGGTGCAAGTGTCTTTCTGTCTTTCGTGGACGGTGTGGCCTTTATGGCATCTCCATTTCAATTTTCGTGAGAGACTACATTTCGCCAACCATTGGCGCCCACTCGCTGTCATCGGTTGTGTCTGCCTGCTATCCGTCTGTGTGGCTGAGGCTTGGTGTACAAGTTCACAGGCAACTTCGGGTGCGGGTGTTTGACCCCTGGTATGCTTCTTCTCGTGCCAGCAGCAGGTGACTTCGTGTTGCAGTCTTCTGTTGTCTATTTACTACCGGCAATGAAGGGCTTATTGGGTATTGCAGGGGTAGTGAGGGTGTCCGGGCCATGGTTCATGCTCTTCTGTGCTGAAGGGCACTCACTATTTGACACAGTCGCGTGGAGAACGTGTATTGTCTTGTCAGTGACACTAGCCACGTTATCGGTGTCTGAGTGGTAGCCTCTTTTCTCCTGTGGTGGAAGACCGTTGCTTTAATGCCCCTCTGAGATTGACAATGGCTTCTTTATTGTGGAACGCAGTTTAACTGAAGCAGTCATTGCACAGCCAGTTTACAAGAAGTTCATAGCAGGGCTTGTATACTGAAGGGGTTATGGTTGTACGCATGCTGTGAAACCATCACCTGCGGCTGTCGAACTGCATGCCTCCTTAGACTGGGAATTAACACTTGATTCTTCCTCAGCGATATATTTTACAGACATACTTATAAAAGTGAAGTGGGGCCACGGGATCCCAATAGGACCAATTTTTATCAAAACTTGAGATAAAAAAGTGGTGAGTATACAGGAAGGGATATATATTAAATATAGTGTTATAAGAACACACTTCCTATGAGTAAATGTACTCAAAACTATTAAAATCTTCGATCAGAATAAACTGAGTTAAAGTTAATCGTTAGAATTTTGAGGTGTATAAAGCAACAAAAGCTGAAGTTAAGCAAGAGCGCATAAAGTTCACTGTCTTTTCAAAGTTCGGGCTTTTGTAATTTGTAACTTGCAATGGCAAAACATTCGTTAAATAATGGTTAGGAGTGCAAAATATTGGTTAGGTTTCGGTCACAATAAAAAACTATCATCCGACCATAATTCGTTCATCTTTTCTTCCTTTTGGACGTCCTCATTATTCAGTGACCTATTGGGTGAAACATTGTTTTATCTTAGTATTTTCGTTACCTCCAATGCCAGCCAAAACATGTGGGTAGATGATTTTTGGTTAAGTTTAACAAAAACATGTTGAGAATAAATTGAAGGATTCTTACCACCATGAAACGTGAACCGAAAGTACCCCTTTTCTGGATATGTTTTATCCTCACAACAGTTGGATTTTTATGTAGCTCTATCGCGATGATTATGCCATATTGGTATGCCAGATATCCTCAGTCACACAGTCGTTTTGTGAGTTTGGGATTGTGGGAAGTGTGTTTTGAGGGATATATGTCAAAACGCATAGGGAATTGCATGTATTTTGGATGCTTCTATCTATTTGATGTAAAGATCGCTCCCCTATGGTCAATTATATTCAGAGGTACGAGATTTGTCTATGACTGACTCTTCTTATTTTGAAGCTTGGTTCGTTGCCTGTCAAGCATCTTACATCTGTGGCTTTTCAACGTATATATTGGCGGAATGTATTATAACTTCCCAAGCTGTAAAATTGATTTCTTTTCGTGGATCGCGAGCTGTCTTGTTTATAATGGTGGCTTTATCACTCAGTAGTAAGTTAGAACGTTTAAGAACTAATAAAATACTTCAACTTACGTTATAGGTTTAAATATGAATCACATTTTTGGGCTTCAGCATGTGTTGATAATTTATTCACGGAAAGTCGTATAGGAAATGAGAAATATAGGTAGAAATGACTCACAAGTTTCCAAAACATTTTACCGTTTGTATCTGTTTGGGACGGTGGTTATTTTTTCGACTGTTCATGGCCCCATTTTCATCTTTCTAGATACAGTGGTCTAAAAGAAGCAATGAATAAAATTTTTATGAACAATTAACCCCCAACCAACTGATTATTTGGACCTTTCTAGTCCTTTGAATTAAATGAAGTTTTCCTTTTGCAGCGGAGTGTTAATTTTTCAACAAAGTATTCAGTAGTAAAAATATTGAATAACTAAAGGTCATTTGATTAATATCGACTGGTATAGTCTGGATAAGTATACTGATCACATATAGAGTCAGTGGTTTTCAAAGTAATATGTACTATTTCGAAAGGCTCTAGGCTGTATGTAAGTTCTTCTGATGAAACCAAAACAATTTTTACCTTTTTGTGTCTGTTTCTTCTGTTCATCAAGTGGGCATTCAGATGCTGTAGGCATCTCTGTGACAGCACGTTCGTGACAGAAATACTTTTAATAAAAATGCAGATCTATAAGACAGTATGCAACTAAAAGGCAGATTAAAAATAGAGTATCACACAGACGAAATATTACATGATGGTCACATAAATTAGAAACTTATTTTCTGGTTTTATTATGTTACCTGAGCTGGGTGGTGTAATTGCAAAACTTTCAATATCTTTCTAGACAACAACTTCAGCGCTATGTCAAATATTGAATCATCTTTTGCAACTTTCTGCAAGCGATATAACTGTCTCTTTCGAGGAGTTTGACTGTGTTGGTTGTCATTACAGGTTTCATTGTCCTTATGTTCACTTGTATTAGTGTCTATTATTACTTTGGCCTGTTTGATACAAGCTCTTTTACAACCGTTACTATATTTTCACTTTGTTGAATCTCAGTGGTTTTAATGGTCATAGGGCTGTACACTGTTGAAAAATTAAATTAACTTTTAAGAAATTAAAAATGAATGTCAGAGAGATTAAACATGTTTTTTCTTCAGTCGTTTACAATCCAGTATTTATTTCGTCACAGCACAATGAGAGTTTAACACGGTGACTAATTTTAGAATGTACCAGGTGATATTTCCACTAGTCTCTATTAAGTGAATGATAAATATTAAGGAAACTGAAATGTACTAAAGTATGATCGCAATCTGATATATTGAAACCTGCGAGTTGCACTCAGCTGAAGAGAATATACGAAATAAAAGTACACCATATTGAAATTCCTCAGTGTTTATTCTAGTCCATATTTGTGAATAGAAAGTTGTCTGTGTAATTCTTAAAAGTTGGAGTTGTGCATAACAGGTTGGTTAGATTTTGTTGTATTTTATGTCGTAACGTAGAACATTAGGCAATAGATGTAAAATAGACAGCCTTAGAATAAGCCCCTCTTTGGATCCACAAAAAGCAGATGCGAAAGCTTTTTCATATTTCATAATATTCGTACGTCCATCAATGACACTGGAATCGTTTACCGACATCTTAAACTCCGTCGATTTCTCATGGTTGTATCGTTTTCGTGGCCAGATATTTCATGTGAAATATCAGTACACATTAATTTTTTTAAGGTGTATCGGATAATACATTTTCAAACACGGTGAATTCTTTTGTGATTGTACTACATTTTTGTGGACAGTTATCTAATTCGAAAGCAGGTTTATGCTTTTTCCACCGCAATTTTGCTGTTAAGCTTATCCCAAAATTATGATGCTTGCTTCCTCTTTTTCAAGGACCTTCAAGACACTTGAAGTTTTTACCAGAATATAAGTGAGAGTAGATTTTAAGGAAACCGATAAGGCTACTTCAACGTGAATTTATTTTGTCGACAATAATTACTGCACGAAGATTTCAATTCTAAACTCACAAGTGATATGAATTTCTTTCATGAAATGCACTAAGTGTAGTGGAAGATAGGAATATTTGTCCGTCGTTAGTCCCACATAAGTTAGTTTACTAACAGAAAATATGTCAAACGAATGCCCACTAGAGAGAAAGTAATTAATGTTGCCGGACGAAAATAAGCTGATTTTCATAAGATTTTTATTATTTCTGATAGTATTCTGATAAATTTTGATATTGAGGTTATTTTAATCAAGATTGCTTAAAGAAATACTTAAATCATAAAATTTCCTCAAAATGTTAGGTGTTTTAACTCTGGTTAGTCTGATCACAATGGGTGTAGGTGTCGACACTGAACAAAAGATTGAAAAAGCGGTTAAAAACCCATGGTTAGAAGATCTTAGTCAAAACTCATTGTCCTGGTCGTATGGTTTAGCTGCAGTCTCAATGCTCCCCAGTTGGATTACAGTTATTCTTCTAGGATGGTTTGTGTATCCCAAGAGGTAAGTGTTTGAAATATTATGTGAATTTTTACTTGTATATGTATATCTATAATCTGTTTAATTTCCCTAGTTCAGTCGATTAATTAACTGTTATGAACCATAACAAGATACTGAAATAAGAATGCGTGCCTGTTTTAATAGACTTCCGACGTGAGAAATCATTGTTAAGCCACTAGTTGTGTCATCCTTTCAGCAAACAACGCAATTTTTTTATCATGTGGGCCATTGAAACATGAAAATTTTTTTATTTATTCTGATTTCTGTAGTTGATCTTGCTTAGTATGGCAATCAGCGTAAATGAGAGCACCCTCCTTCACCTAACTACTTGGGAAGCATAGTTTCAACTACAGGCGGAACTGACGAGGGTATCAAAGCGAGGGTCGGAAAAGAAAGACAAGCTTTCATTTGTTTCAAGTCTGTGTGGAGGTCAACAGCACTCAGCATCAAAAATAAGATCCGGATTTTCAACTCCAATGTAAAATCAGTCAGTGCTACTTACGATACGGATCAGAGACTTGGCCAGCGCGTCATAAAGAGCATCTCAAACAAACTTCAGACCTTCTCTAACAGCTGTCTTCGCTCAATACTGAAGGTCAGATGGCCGGCCAGGAAAGATCAGCAACAGGGAGGGATCTCTGGGAGCGAACCAACCCAGCAGTAACCGACTGTGCAACAAATATGTAGGAAGAAATGGAGGTAGGTGAATTGGCCATACCCCGAGAAAATCATCAAGTTACATTGCACGCCAGGCCATTGCTCGAGTGGAACCCTAACGGGAAGCGGTGAGTTGGTGGTCAGTGTGAGGGTGACATTGAGGAGGTCGTGTGAAGAAGAAATAAAAGCATGTAGGCAGACGTGGAGCCAGGTGAAAACGTTGGCAGAGAGCCGAACGCAATGAAGACGTGTGGCTGAAGTCCTATGTTCCTCTAGGAACCAAAGGAAACAATAATAATAGTAGTATGTTAATCTGAGCCTGATTATTGATGAAGTACTTTATGGTAGACATGTATGTATTCATTCAACTTTCAGTGCTACTAACATGGTAATTGAGATTGTGCATTTTGTGGGGATTTTGATTAATTTCAATGTGGATTCCATCACGAACCCACATCCTTTAGAGAATCATTGAAAACTGGGTTATTGAATACAGACCCGATTACAGAATGGTGAACTATTTGACCTTGTAATCTAAAGGTCTCGGGTTCACTTCCTAGTTTAAGGGTATGTGGCTCGTGACTACGTATTACTGAAGAGTCTCAATCTAGGAAGAAGAAGTACTCAAGTGCTCCTTCCAATAATTCTGTGATTGATGTTGGCTTGGGACTCAGTCATCGTTGAAGATGGTAGTTGTTGGTGATATTTCGAAGTAAATGCCACTTTTTGTGATATTGAAAATGGTGCAAGCCTTCAGTGACTACCGTGACGACGATTCGTATTCAAAGGAATAGAATTATACCGGGATAAATGGATATGGATTGCTAAAAAAACTAGGAAGACATTAAGTTTGCATAGCTAGAATACGATATGTTATGACGGAAGCGTTTTATTAAAGAAAACCACTTGCGATTTTGTTTTAAAATTTGGTAAAACTAATAAACAATCTGTCATTTGACTGACATTAGTTAAGAGTGGAATCCACAATGAGCCATCCATTCTGTGTGAACACATCATCTGGATATACCTACATCCATCAGTGAGTGGCAATGTTACCACCTAGATTTGGACTTAACAGCCATCGCTCCATACGCGAAATCGTCATGTATTGGACAACGACTATCAGTTCTTATTTGTCCAAACTAGCCTGTATTTTCCGTTGATTGATTGTATTGCACAGAAACGCTCAATTTGAAATAATACAGTATCCATATGTGTATGATTTCAGCTTTCACATATTTCAGAAACCAACTAAGTTTTATTCTGTTCTGGCATAAAATTATAATTTGAAATTTTAAAGCAGGAAGTATATTTTTAAGGTGATTGATTATCACTGAATTCACCTATGTGATCTAGTTAGATAAAGTGCTGATCTGTGAATAGCCGAACATAACTAGTGTGGGTGTGCTATATCAAGCATCTCACGATAGAAAAACAAGTTCACTGAAACAATGGGACTCAACTCCTCAATGGTGAATATCCTTCTGTTCTAAATAACTGATTAATTTTAGCGTTGTATTTATCATTTTAAATGTATGAATAGCACCTACTTAACAATATTGATAATCAAAATACTTCCACACAGCCATAAACCATCAACCACTAGTGTAACTTCCTATAAATGCTTAAGTGAGGTTAATGCGTGTTAGTCACGATAGTAAAACAATTAGTGATCCAAATCATATTGTTTTTTAATATATATATACATATATATATATATATATATATATGCAAATAAAATCATTCCAGGCGTCTAACATCACATTCTAAAGTATGAAGCTTAAACAAACTATCTTTAGTGTCTTAGTTGCCTTTTAGACCTTCAAGAGTCAGTCTTAAGAAGGTGTCCATTTCTTAGAAGTAATTCAAAATGAAGCTACTGATAATAAAAACATTACCAATGTTAGGTCCAATCCATATATATGAATGCAAATTGTTAGTCGTTGAAATATATAGTAGTCTTAGACCCCTTTAATCTGAAATGTAATTAATTATTATTAAAGGGTAGAATCAGTTGAAAAATATACATATTGAGATCGTTCTAGTAGTCATCGTTAAATATTTCGGAAAAAATGAATGAAAACCTGCTGGAATAATAGAGAAGATTTGTAGCTCAGGTGGATGATCTTGAATTAGTTATTTTCTCTGAGTTGGTTGATTTAATTGTGAAGCTTTCGTTGTCTTTTTGGACAACATCTCCAGCGCAGGCTTTAATATCAAAAAAACTCATTTGGATTCTCCATGAATGATATTATTATTATTATATCTTAATTCCTAGAGGAACATAGGGCTTCAGCTGCGCATCTCCGTTGCCTTCGGTTTTCTGCCAAATTTTTCACTCCGCTCCATGTCTGCCCGCATGCTTTCATTTCCTCTTCACATGACCCCCTCCAAGTCACCCTCACACTGACCACCAACTCGCCGCTTCCCTTTCGGATTCCACTTGAGCAATGGCTTGTCTAGTGATGTCACTTGATGGTTTCCTCGGAGTATGGCCAGCCAATCCATCTCCATTTCTTCCTGCCTATTTGTTTCACAATCGGTTCCTGGTTGGTTCGCTTATTGCCAGAGATCCCTGTTGCTGATCATTTCTGGCCATCTGATCTTGAGGATTGAGCGAAGAAAACTGTTAATGCAAGTCTGAAGTTTGTTTGAGATGCTCTTTATGACGCGCTGGCCAAGTCTCTGATCCATATAGTAGCACGGACTTCACATTGGAGTTGAAAATCCGGATCTTATTTTTGATGCTGAGTGCTGTTGACCTCCACACAGACTTAAGAGTAGTGAAAGCCTCTCTTGCTTTTCCGATTCTTGCTTTGATATCCTCGTCAGTTCCGCCTGTAGTTGAACCGATGCTTCCCAGGTAGGTAGGTGAAGGAGGTTGTTTCTTTCAGGTTCCTCCCATTTATGCCGGCTGGTTGTTGTCTGTTGATGCTGTTGGTGTTTGCCAGGAATCTTCATCACCTCTGTTTTATCTCTGTTCAGTCCTATCTTCTCTGGATACTTTTTCTGCCAGCTTGTTGCTTTTCACTTGCATATCTTCCAGTTTGTGGGAAATCAGATATATATCATCAGCGAAGTCCAGATCCTCCAAGTTTTTTGCGTGAGTCCATTTCATGCCTGTTTCGTCATTGCCTGCTGTCTGTCGCATTATCCAATCCACTGCAATCAGGAAAATCATTGAAGATAATAAACAGCCTTGTCTTACTCTCGTCTTCACTTCGAAGGATTCCTTAATTTTCCCGTTTTGGATTACTTGGCATGCAGCATTGTCGTATAACTGTTGGATGAGATGTATAACTGTCGATGGCACCCCGTAGTGGCGAAGTAGTTGCCGATCTCGATCGATGCTGCGCTGTCGAAGGCCTTTTAAAAGTCGATGAAGTTGAGATAGAGGGGTGACTGCCATTCCAAGCTTTGTTCAATGATGATCCGTAGTGTGGCGATTTGATCAATACATTACTTGTTTCTCCTGAATCCAGCTTGTTCCGATCGAAGTTTTTCATCCGGGGCTTGTTTGATTCTCTCCAGGATGATGCGGCTTAGAATTTTGCTTGGGATGGACAGCAGCATAATTCCGTGCCAGTTTTTGCATTGACTTAAGTCTCCTGGTAACCATCATGTGACAAGAAATTTCAAATTCCAAGTCACTAAAAATGATCAATAGATATGTAAATCAACTACCAGTCACTAAAATTGTTGCCAGTAAACACAGTTATATCATTCATGGGGAATTCAATTGAGTTCATTTAATACTAAAACCTGAGCTGAAGACGTTATCCATAAGGATGACCAAAGCTTCGCAATTAAATCAGCCAGCTCACGGAATACAACTGATTCGAGAACCTGCAGGATTCATGTTCTTATTAATTTAACCTAGGATTGTAGGAATCCCTTTGACAGTTGTAAATTTTTCAGTATCATGGACTGTATACTTAAGTGTGCGGAGAATTATGGCTAACTGGTCTCGGCTGCCAATTGCTGACCACTTGGTAACAGGTTCGAATTCATCTACACCTTTACTGAGGTTTTGGCAACTGGGTAGTATCACAAGATTTGACACAATTAACTGGGATTATATAGCGAACTCCACAAAAATCCAGATGGTTGTTGAGTGACAATTCCGATTTCATACTCTGATTTTGTGTGCCATATAGGTGGATGGTTTTGTGATGATCAGTGATTCTTTGACCTTTATTCAGTACAAAGAATTAAATGAGACAAAAACATACTGTTGTTTGTTTTGTGGAAGTTTGATTAATTTAAACATACATTTCATTACGAGGAGATATCTGTTGCAAAAAATGTGACCCTTGTGACTCAGTAACCTTGTGAACAACATTGTGATGTTTCAACCGAAGTGCAGTTAGCTGAAGTCCCAATAAGGAGACCGTCACTCATTGGGACAAAGTGACATCCACCGTAAGGGTCCCATATATACGACCAAAGTGTGCCGTAGATGTGATTGTTAAACACCACCTATCCAATAACATGAATAAACATAATTGAAAGTGCTAATTGAAAAAGCCTAAAAATATTAGACAGCTGTTTCATACATCTAAGTTCCTGTTAATCGATGTGCACCGATGGTGCTTTAGAGGATTGAGCTCGTCGGTTTTTATTTCTCTAGCTGACGTCATTTGACAGCGCAACCACTCGCACCCAGCTAGTACATTTTTTATATTGCTTTGAATTGTAGAATGCACTTCATTACAAAACTACAGAGGAACGACTAACTCCGTGTGCGATCATATTAAACATACAAATCAGTTGGAGGATAACAACTAAGGCTGTTGGCAAGCTAGGAATCTCTGTCAGTGATTCTCGCAACTGAATTCCTCTAACATCTCATATTTCACTGTAGCACACTGTAGTGTGTCACAATAAGCAGTAGTAACTGTGTCAAACCCGACCGCTATGATTATAATAGACAATCTCGGGACTTGCCTATTCCATTGGATACTATCTAGAGATGTAGAATTATAAATAATTAGATGAAACAAACCAACTTTGAATAATATTTATGCATTCTAATTATTATTACTACCTTAGATCACCATGTGGGCTGCTGTCGATTTCAGCTTGGGAATGGCCAACAGTTGATGATTTACAGTGTCGTTATCATGTAAAAGACTTGCAAACAGTTAAGTTATCGTCATACTCAAATCCACAATCATCATTTAACATCACTACTGTATCAGGTGATCAGCATCCGTATTCTTATCCTCCTCGTTCAATAATTACAACAAATCAGACTACTATCGACCATTGGACGGAATTAGACAACAATATCAACAACAACAATATTCTTCGTAAACCAACATTATTTCACAAGTCCCATGCTCAACCTGTATTATTAGCAATGAAGACAACAACCCAACAAGATCAAGGTTGTATCTCAGATGCTGGTGGCAAGCTAAGCAACTATGATCCACGTTCAGCTGATACAGTATCTGTAAGATACACTTTTTAAGGAAGGCATTGTATACTTAGAATAAATTGTTTTGCATGAGTTAACGTCTCAAGGACATAGGTGCGACTTATGATACTTTTGCGAAAAAAAGAGACTTTAGTTTATGGAATGATAATAGTGAGAACTGTCAAGAGTTAACTGAATTGACTGCAAACACTAGCTACTAAGTTAGACACTCATATTGAGTAGTACTTTAGTGACTTTATAAAAATCAGCTATATGACTGATAAACATCATCTAGTATCAGCTTTGATAAGGTCGACACCAGTTCTTCAACTGTACTTGAAGTTGAAAAAAAATTGTCTGTATTCTAAAACCAGACAAAGAAGCAGGACCTGATGACAACAAATTATGGACTATATTAACTAGAGTATTAGCTGGTGCATAGGAATCTGAGATTGTTCCAGTTTACAAAATCCACATCTTCCCACGATAATTAATAAGGGGGCAATCAGTTTAACTAAGGTAGTATCTCAGATTCTGGGGTTTACATTTCCGCGAAGGCTAAATAGGAAGTAAACTTCAGAAAACCAAGCACACCTTATAGCCGAGTGAGAGTGCATTGGTTATATCTTTACTTTTTGACAGGTTCTGCAACACAAACATACCTAACGGTTTTTAACGCTTGTCAAACTCCTTGACCTGAAAGCTGCATTTCACTCAGTTGATCACGAGGTGTTTCAGGAATTTTTGGTGGCGAAGACTGTTTCTGAGGCATATTGTACCAAGCAAGGTGGGCTACCTGAACACATTTGTCGGTATAAAAGCTTTTGAAGAGTTTTCACCGAAAATAAAGACAACTGCAGTGACTTTGATGGACGCTCGGTGTCAGTATTCTCATTTCCTTTCGTCGCAGACGTTCTAATGTATGTCATTCTGGTCTGCCTCTTTGTTTGAGGAAATGATTAAGTACCATATATGTGTCTCATTTTTATTTAAAGTACTCAGATAATCTTATTTTTCTAAATAGAGATGTTAACAAAATTCAGAGTCTTTTAAACACCACTAGCAAATTTCTAAGTACGTTTAGCGTAAGATTCCCCCTGTCGAATGCAAGATGATGCTCTACAGTCTTGGTGCCTTTTGACTCCTGCTTTACTTAAATACAAAAAGTGAAAGGATTGAATATGATGACCAATTCACTTATTTGAAAGGTCCCATTAGTCCTAATAGATTATTTATTACCGAAACCTCAGCAAGAATACAAGAAGCCGGTTGGGCTGTGAAGCTCCATCGACTGAGATGAGTAGGATAAGTGTTATACACACTGAGCTACCTGTTTCCCCAATAAGCGGTCTTAGGCAATGTAGGACCAGATTAGACAAAAACATAAAGCCAAACTATGAAGCCACCAGGTGTTGGTCTGAGCGACATAGAGAGGTTTAAACTGTATGGATGAAGTCTTCGGGATGCTTAGAAACAATTGTTGAGGACCGCTGGTGATATGGCTTACAATTGTCTGTAGTGGTATATGTGTACCAAACCTCATTTTAGATTCTGGAAATGTCCATTGGTTGTTTTTTCTCTCATGCATCTTGGTGCATTGTACCTTCACTATATTTTTTTTCTTTGCTTTTGTGTAAGCTTCTCCGAGATGTCGCGACTTAAACTGCCGCACTTTTTTATAAGTATCTATGCTGATAAGCCAGTCAGTCAATAATGCAGTCACAATACTATCACTGTCTTATTTCAGTAATTCATTCTCTTTGTTACATACATTTATTCGATATTTTCTTGCTCTCGAATGTTAGGTTTCCTACAACAGAGCTTCCAACATAAGTTTGAACACTATCATTAAGTGAATTTAGCCGGTTTCGAACATTTTTCTTCCTTTGAATCTATATTTGATGAATAACTACTTCATGACACGGTAAATTCGACTGAACTAATTTATCATTGTAGAACTATGCTCAAAGATGCATCATTTCGAGTTGGTATATTGTATAAAAGTACATATAAAGGTAGGGGAAAGGAATACAGTTGTACTACAATAAAATGAGGAAGAAAATAATAACATGAAGAATAATAAGCACCTTTAAAATCCGGAAAATCACATGGAGTGAATATATCTGTGCCATTGAGCATGATTTTCAGCGTCTCAATGACCTCAGCCAGATAGTTCGCTTCTCTCTACATGGCTCAAATTAGTAGGCAGTGGTTTTATGGAATAGTACTATGTTTTGGTCTAACCACCAACTAGTTCTGTATGGACTAACACTGCCCATCATCATCAGCACACGCACAATACAACGTTACAAACACTTAGTTATTTAGACTAGAATGTAAATGATTTATACTATGATATCTGAACAGTGGTATATAGTAGAAGGATGAAATAATAGAAGCAAAGAGTGTGGAAATTATTATTACTACTATTACCCCTTTAGGTTCAGAGTGATACATAGGACTTCAAGAGAATATCTCCGTCTCACTCTGTTCTTTGCATTCAGGACTGAGTAGAATAGAGATGTTTCACTCGGAAACCATAAAGTGAATAATACTACTGACAATTATTTTCACTTCTGTTCACTTTATTTTTTCCCCTTCTAACTGTCTCGTTCTTATGTCTTCTAGCTTTCATCCTATGAACAAATACCCTTCGGTGTATTATACAAACAACCAAATATTCGAACAGAAGATGTTAATTCAACTGAAAGTGTCAAAGGCAGTAGTTTTATTCGTAGTAATTATTCAATAAGATCAAACCGGTCTAAATTATCCTCATTATCTTCAATATCATCATCATTTAGAAACTATAAATCTTCCTTATGGCCATCTATAAAAGAGTGTGTCGATGAACAACAATTAAAGCACCATCAACAACGACAGTCTACACTGAATCCCAAAAGTCACCTTCCTTTATTAGCTATTGAAACTGACAAATCATTAATAACTGAACAAACATTATTTAATAATCCAGATACTTCAGTATGGACTGAAAATGTAATTTATGAAAAGCCGATTGTACATAATTCTGTAAGTTTATATATTCTTTCCTATTTATATTTATTTATTGGAGAGGGGGAGTTGTCCGTTAGTTGAATGATAGGAGATGAGATCAACACTGAATTGTCTTGATGTTAGGTGGTCGAAGAGAGTCAGCAAGAAGCCCTCAAATTAACTTTTCTGCTTGTTATCACTCATCGATGGAATCACTATCAACACACCTGCAGCACATCAACACAGTCCATCAACACTTAAACTTCTCGTCAAGTTGAACTTTAAGTCTACAGATTTGCAGACACCCTAATATTACACCAAGTTTGATTCTCGAAAAGTAGAGGAAGTTGTCTACTTGAATGATGAAGCAAGTTTACTTTATATTCTAGCATGGCGTATATCTTTCGGTGTTATTTATATTTTCAATTTAGAATAAAGCTTTAGTGTTTTCTTCTAAAAGTTATCTAAAATACATGATCGTTTTGTAAGAATAATATATTCTTTCTTACTGCTTATTATAATCCTCTATCTGTAAGTTGATTATTCAGGAAGAGCATTTAGCAAATGTGAATTCACCTGTTGTTTTTGTGACCATTTTTAAACTAAAGCCTTTTCCTGAACCAAATGTTTGATTTATTTCCCCAGACCGAGTATTTAGTTGAGTGCAGATTGGCTAAGTTGGCATTTTCTTGCATGAAATTTCTTATTAACACAAAAAAGCTAAACGAAGAAGATTGTGAAAAAAAATAATCACCATTTCAATAACTTTCCCATCTGTCTACTACAGTTACATATATACATATATATAATATTTGAGGAGAAACTAATCAAACAATGGGCTGATCACTTTGAGGGACTCTTGAATCGACCACCATCAGAAACTCGCATGAACAGCACGCACAGAACTGCCGGTGGACACCACTCCTCCAGCCAAAGAAGAAATCCTGAGTACGATCAAGCTACTGAAGTCTGGGAAGGCAGCAGGACCAGACGCCATCCCTTCCGAAGCCATAAAGATGGCCCCAGAGACTACGCCAGATCTTCTCACTCCATTACTGAAAAAGGTTTGGAAAGAAGGAAAGGTGCCTACTGATTGGAAGAAGGGTTACCTCATCAAACTGCCAAAGAAGGGTGACTTACGCCTCTGCAAGAACTGGTGTGGAATTATGCTCTTGTACACGCCAACTAAAATATTATGTCGCATCATTCGGCAGAGAATAAAGGATGCACTGGATACAGAACTCCGCCAACCTGAACAAGCTAGATTCACGAAAAGCAACTCGTGTGCTGATCGAATCGCAACTCTACGCATTTTCATCGAATAAAACATGGAATGACAGTCAAACCTCTACCTCAACTTCATCGACTTCGAAAAGGCCTTCGATAACGTTGATCGCGAAGTAATTTGGAAACTGCTTCAACACTACGGCGTACAGTACCTAAGTCTTAATCAACCTCATTCAACAGCTGGCTGTAAGACAATGCCACGTGTCAGGTGATCCAGAACGGAAAACTCAGAGAGGCATTCGAAGTGAATACAGAGGTGCCGATTACCACTGATGATATTCTTAATTTCGGTGAACTAGATTATGCGTCAGACTGTGCACAGGGAGTGAGAAGAAGGGAATACGCTGCACTGACCAATCAGAAGGCTCTAGAAGATCTGGATTTCGCAGATGATTTATGTAAAATGTCACACAAGCTCGAAGACTTAAAGCAAGCGAAAACAAACAAACTATCTGAAGAAGCTGCCAGCGAGGACAGGACTCCAGGTGGACATAGAGAAGACGGAAGTGATGAAGATAACCAACCAACCAAACAACCAACAACAACCACAACCAGTACCAATCACAATCAATGTGAGAAGTTTGACAGAGGTTACCTCCTTCACTTATCTATCTAGGAAGCACGGTTTCAACTACAGGCGGAACGGATGAGATGTCAAAGTCAGAATCGGAAAGGCAAGATACGCCTTCATCAACCTGAAGCCAGTTTGGAAATCTTCCGCACTCACCAAAAGGAACAAGATCCGCATTTTCAATACTAATGTGAAGTCAGTCAGTTCTTCCATAAGGGTCAGAAATTTATACTGCGTGTCATTAAAAGGATTTACAATGGATTACAGGATTTTATCAACGGCTGCCTTCACTGGCTCCATACTGAAGATCAAATGGCTGGAGGAAAGAACTGGCAACAACAAACTACGGGAACAAACCGATTAAGAACCTATCGTTCAACAAATGTATAAGAGTAAATGGAGATGGATAGGGCACACACTGAGGAGGCCGTTGAATGACATCGCGCGCAATGCAGGCCATAGCTCGAGTGGAAAGCGGATGGGGAACGACGGTTAGGTTATCCGAGGGTGATATGTAGGAGATCGTCCCCGACCGAAAGCCGCTACCTTGACGTGGTGGTCGGGCTTGAACATGTCAATGACCCAACAAGCTATACTGGCTGAGACTTATGTCTCTTGAGGTCCTACCATGCCAGAAAGATTGTCTGGATAGCGGTTAGACAAAAAGCAGCTACCTAATCCAATACAATGATTCAAACAAACTCACAAAATATCATGCCAGGTCGGTTGGGGCCCGGATTAACAACGACTGCGGTTCCTGCTGCCGTATCACAGGGCAGAAGTGATAAATATGCTACTGAGACACACCAAACAAAAACAGACCGCGTGTGACCGGCCTCAAGCAGTTGTCCCCTGGACTCTGCAGCCGGGCAGTAACAATCGCCCTCACAATCCGAAATGCACAGAAAACCTCTCTAATTCTCACTCATCTCTGTCTTCATCTATATTATTTTGCTTTCCTTCCACTGATGCGACTCCTCTACTTGATGGCTCCTCACTTCCTCTTCACTCTGTGTCCACTAAAAACGACAGAAGACAAAAAACCACCACCGATAGTCTCCTAAAGCCATGCCACCAATTTCATATAGGAGCATTTAATGTTGAATCCTACGTGGAGGAGAGGAGAGATTCGCGCATTCGCGGACCTAGTTGAAGAGGGCAGCAGAAAATAGAACAAAGTGGAGATGTATTGTTGAAGCCCTATGTTCCACTCGGAACCTAGGGGAATAGTAATAGTGGTGGTGACAATATAGCTTGGTGACCCTAATAATCATTGGGCTGCATAATGAAATTCCTGTGATCATTACACACGGATAAGAGGTTTCGGATTAGTTTCTCTGTCGGTTTGACTTAGGAAAAATCGGTCACAATGCCAAAACCGATAAAGCAGTGAATAAAACCGTGCATGAATAACAGGGGGCTACAAATGGGCAGTAAAATTGATGGGATAAAAATATACCTGAATTTAATTAATAGACAATAAGCATCATTAATTTTATTCACTTTTTTGCGAATTCTGCAAGGCTTATTAAATTTATAGCAATGTTATTAGAGACGTCCAGAAGGGATCAGGCAATAGTTCAGGTGGGAAAAATGGCCTGTTGGCCAGGAAAAATCGCGGATTCCAACCAGGACGATTTTGTCTAAGAAACCTACTGCTAGCTAGGGGAATTTAAGAAAAGAACATCTTCTTTATCAATCTGAGTAATGTGTCCCATTTAGGTCTCTTCAGTAAACTAAAAGGTTTTGAATTTGATCAGTGTGACTGACTTGGGGACTACCTGCTGGATAGAAGACAGACTTTGTGGCCAACATTGTTTCTGTGTGGAGACCAGTATCGAGTGAAGTAATACAGGGTAACATTCTGGACTTCACGTTATTCCTACCACACGCTAGCGAGTTGCTGAAGAGTCTTACTTCACTCTCACCTAACCTTCACTTGGAAGATACATAAATAATAACGATCGTAGGTGAGGTAAGGAATAATTGGAATGTGGTATTAGTGACTGACTGCAGGAAAAGTTACCTTAAGTTCTAGTGAGAAGCAGTGATCAGAGGAGTCTATCAAGTTGAGCTTTAAGACAGGTATCCAGCTACGACGTTGGCTAGCAGTCGCCATATATTGCAAATAAGCAGAAGATAGAATTAATGTGGTTGGTCATCAGATTTCTCCCTAGTGGATCAATCGTATACGAGTTAGTCTTGTAACCCGAAGGTACTTGGTTGTAATCGCTGATGGATGAAACCGAAAAGTCACTAACAGGTGCTAAAATGTTGTTCGGTACTCTGTGGTATTCATTGATTCTCTAACTGAAGTTAATTCATGGTAGAAATTGAAATTCATCCAATTGCTGCAAACCAACACTTGAAAACAACATACAACATATTTATACTTTTCTGTTTTAACTGTTTGACTGAATATTTGTATGAAATTTGCTTCTTGTCGCAGTAACACAGACAGTAACCTTCTTAACTTCCACATTTCTTGTCTAAGATAGAGGACCACTTATAAAGCTGTAAAACGAGAGCTCCCACGAGTAGTAGTGACTTTGATTGGACAGTAGGTAGTAACTAATATCATCCGTTTAGTCCTTCATTTAGTGCAAACTATATTCTGTCAGTTAAGTCCCCAATATGGCTACCATTCCATGTGGCTCGCCATCACGATGCATTCTGAATTGTTGTGTATTTTAGTCTGATGGAGTTCACTTTGCACCAAACGAAGGGCTAGATGCATGACAATAGTTATTTCCTAGTATTCAGGGAGAAAGTACCCATTACAGTCCTAAGGAAGCTCAATTGTGAGCCCAAATAGCTTAGTGGTAACGTTTCTGATGATAAGTGATACGGGTTCAAATCCCCAAAAGGGGCATGAGTTCCTTCAAGACTGCGAATACACCTTGCAGACTTGTGAGGGCTAACGAGCACGAAAACTAGGTCAGACAAGGTTTTCTGCTGATTGCCTCCAATTATTTAACAGCAGTTCACGGGAGTAATTATGCATCAAAATGATAAAAAGAGAACAACACAACATAGAACAAACACACTAATCGAAACCAATTCATTTATTTAATTTATTCCAACAAGACAAAACTTGAACCACTGAACATTTATGTATGATGTATATTTGTGGTTGTTTTCAATATTTCGAAAGTGAAACTCGGTACATTTGAGATCAATGTGTCCTTAGAAATAAATAAATAATACAAAAAGTGTTCATTCTGTGAAGGAATAAAATTAAGCATCGAATATGCATAAGTTGTATATACTCTAATTAATGATTATTATTACATAACAATAGGTTGTTCTACATGAAGCTTTTGTGTTTTTATTTCGAATAGTGAGTGGAGGAGTTAGAAACAAATCAATAACAAGGAAAAATCAATAAATGATTGACGAAAAGGAAATGACAAATTAAATTAGTGTAGTATATTATGCAATAATAATAAGTAAGAAACGGAATACCCGAAAAAGTTGTTTTATTTTGAACATAGATTTAACACTTGTAGAACCTTTGGTTTTATATATTAATCTGAAGGGGTGTTTGCTTGGTCTAAAATAATTACTTACTTTGAAATTGGGTTCATCTCTCCATTCATGGTTGATAGATTGGTTGTGTTGTTTGCAAATATCTGAGTTTATGTCTGTCTACGTCCAGGACGACGATGTATTCACTCTTCAATACATCCTGGAACATAGGATTACTTAACATTGTCCAAGAGTTATCATGTTTCTTGACCTGAAAGCGGCATTTGATCCCGTTGAGTGAGAGGTAATACGGCAATGGCTGGTCGTGAAGGCAGTGCCGAGAAAAATATATTGCATTGTGCACGAAATCATGCAGTAGTGTAAGAACCTATGAAGGGTTGTCATCTGAAGTAATAACAACCAGTAGTGTCTGTCAGGGATACTGAATGTCTCCATTTTGTTTGATTTCATCGTATATGTACTTGTGGATATGACCCTAATGAGCTATGGGGATTATAAATTGACTTGTTACCAGGGTAGAGCTTTATCAAATTAGAATATTGTGATGATATAATCCTTGTAGGTGGAGACTGAAAAAAATTTAGCGTTTCCTTAACACTATCAGCAGAAATTTTGGTTTGTTTGGCATACGATTTACCCCTGCTGCTGCAGGACTGGTCTACACGAACTCCTAATTTAAAGATAGGAAGTGAAGTGGTTAAACATGTTGACCACTTCACTTATTTGGGAAGTTGCATCAACCTAATTGAATGGTTGTTGACGAAATCTCAGCACGGATATAAAAGACTTGTGTGGTACTTGACAACTTACGTCATTTTTGGCAGTGACGTGATATCCGAATGTCGACCGTAAGATGACTGTATTGCACGGTAGTTTGCTATGTCCTCCTTTATGACTGTGAGACACGGTCATTGAAAGTTGGGGACATGAAATAGCTAACTGTTTTTGAATCCTATCTCCCGTGTTAAGTGTTGTAATTTGGTGCAAAATATTGAGGTCAGGAGTAGTGTTAAGTTAACAGATGAATTTGTGAATTTACATCGAATGAGATGGCTAGGACACGTTTTATTCACATCGAGCCACCTCCTTCCTCGTCAAGCAATGCTAACTGACATGGTTAGGTTGGAGAAGAGTTACCGATGGTCAATTCCATGAAGCCCGTGACTGTTGATTTGAGCCACATAGGGAAGTATAGACTGCATGGATAGGGTCCTCGACATGCTACAAATAAACGGTTGGGGAATATCGGTGACATACGCCGAAGTCATCTTCAGCGGCGCAGATGTATTCATTCTTTGGGGTCTTCCAGTTAAGGTTCATTGAGTTATTTATTTTGGCGCAATAAGAGTATAGAAAGACTTACAGGCTCACCGAATTTAGCAATTAACTAACATACAGTGGGTCCAGTGTTGAAATACCGTTCTATCTGATTCAATCTGGGTTTAGAGTCGTCAACCGCCACACATTAAGTGTAGCTTATAGCCAGGTACGCATAAAATCTGTTCTGGGTAACTGAATTCTAAGCTTTTTTAAATAGTCTAGCTTGTAATAATAAGATAGTCTATTTGTCGGAAGATGTCTAACCAACTGATAAGAAAACCATGTGAAACCTACTCTCAAAATACATCATTTTCAATGTGGAGAAAATTCCCGTTTAGACATCTAAAAGACAAAGACACTACTGAGCGAATATATATATATATATATATATATATATATATATATATATATATATATATATATATAACTTTAGAGACAGATAAGGAGATTCTTTGCTCAATTTTGTTTTTGCTGTTTTTATAAAAATTTATCCCGGTTATTTTTCAAAAATCGATTTTTATTTCGCTGTATATTGCGACTACTGTCAGGTATCAACTTTAAATACCTGTCCGCACCTATAGTTTTCCCATTACAGGTATGTATTGTGATTTGTTCATTAAGTATAGGTTATTTCAAGAAAATATTTTACTTATTACTTGTTCATAGATTATTCAAGCAGCACGTCCATTGAAAAAAAGCAGAAAAAAGCGGAACAATCAATGGATACAAAATCTTGCTCCATTTAAAGAAGATACATTAAACTTTTCGCCCTTTTCTACAACTGTAAATAACAATTCAACAGTAAGTTTCAAAGGTTTATCATACACTTGGTAGTATTTAATTTATTTTCAAGAAGAAAAAACACTGTTAACATCTTGTTAGTCTTTTGTGGATCAACATCTGTGTCGAGTCTGACCAATTTTTCGCTTTTAATAATTTTATACTCAGGAGTGATCACTAACTGACTTTAGTTAGAGAACAATTGACTCTTCAGCAATACTCATTCATGACCTGACTTCAAGGGACCGAACTCAGCACCTTCAGGTTACGAGATGACCTCATTAAACGTTCAGCCATAGAGACCGAATACAGTGGCCCATGAATTTAAGATTTAGCCTTTTAATCGGAAGATGCTGGAGTCGAACCCCGGTGGGAGCATGCCGATGAGAAGTCTCAGACTAAAATATGAGACGGCTTTCTGGTACTCCCTGATTTTCCAATGGCCCTCTAACTGATGTCAGAGTGTGGTCAATCGAATCGCTGCAAATCAAAACCTCGAAATTATCAGTATTTGCTTAGTAATAGTGATAACTTTATTCTAAAAACAGATAAGGGAATCCTCACAATAATTTTTTGCAAAATATTTACTTCTCATATGGAACTTTCCAGTATAATATTTATCAGTAGTATATCGTATGAAGTCATATAATTCCATGTGAAACAACACTCAGTCCTCTACGGGATGTTTTCTTTCATTTTCTTCTTGAAATGTACACATAGAGGTTGGAAGTCAACCCGATCCAATAAAATAACCTGCCATCCAAAGACATAATTAGAAGATCACATATAATAAGAAATAGTGGAAAGTTGATGGGTATTTAATGTTGTAGAGAAATGTGGTCTAGTCTAGTAGTTTAAAGATACCATCGATGCACAAGAAACTGTACACTTTTTAGTGAATATTTCTTAGGAATGAAAGCGCTTAAATGAAACCATATGGAGTTGCATCTCATGAAATAATTCTTTTTTCTGTTTTGTTGAATATTTGGCTCATTATAAAGTTATAGAGACAGGTGTTGGTACTAATGATAATTATAACCTCCTCTGAAGACTGTCTCAGTATTAATTAATTTTAAAACTATTTCCTTTCTTTCTGCTTTCTTTATTTATTTTAACCAATGGATATTCAGCCGAGTACATTTGTCCAAGTAAGTACTCATTTCTAATAAATATATGTGAATAAAATGAAAATCGAATGAGATTACCTTTAACTAACCATCATTATGAAATCTGCTATATTACCTATAAAGTTTATAAAACTCTGTTCACTTTTAAGTTTGAAATATACAGAATTGAAATTTTCTAACTGTGTTTCATAGGCCTTCATTATCTTATTAGCTGAGGAGTGTCTTGTATATAAATTACTCACCTGACCCTGCGGTGGAACCCGAATGGGTAATGGAGAGTTGGGCGTCAGTTCATGGGTGATGGGGAGGAGATAATGTGAACAGGAGACTAAAGCTTATGGTCAGTTGTGGAGTCAGCTATAAGGGACTGCAGAGGAGATAATGAAATAGAGATGTGCTGTTGAAGCTCTATGTTCCACTGGGAACTTAAGCGAATAATAATATATAATAATTATAATAAGTAGTCCTTTAATCACATTTATTGATACACCCACTTTGTTAGCCTAGGTTTTTCTACACTTTCACATATTTTGACGAACATATATATATATATATATATATATATCACAGTTCCATTACCCACGGCTGCTTATGGTTATGCTTGGCTTCACATAGCATCAGTAGTCCGGTGATAGGAAACGCGCCAACCACGCATTTGGTCAGGAGTTCGGTTTCCGGCCGGTTTCCAGCAAAGCCGAAACGTTGGGAAAAATGTGCATGAGGCTAGCAACCCTACCTCGAAAAAGAAAAATGCCATTGCTATTAAAAATTTGAAGCTCTAAGCTTGCAACTCTATGTTCCTGTCTCTTGGAAGGCGAATGAATGACATTAACTTCACATGACAATTGAATTAAAAGGCGAGTACATTACATTAGCCATTACATCGGAATCTTAATATAACCTACGTTTTCTGTTTAGTGCTTACTGACATTTTGAAAAAATGTTTATCACACAGGCGTCTATTCGTGATCAAGTTCATGTTGGAATTAATCATATCCACAGAAGTTTACCAACACTACTACGATTATCACTATTATTCATATTTGTGGGTTAATATGATACGAAAGAGTTCTCTACCTACATATCAACTGTGGTAAAACGTAGTAATTATATAAATAATATACGCATACATGCATACATACTGAATGACGTTTTAAACACAATTTACTGTCCAAAACATCTTCCATTAAATGAATATTGTTTCACTGCGTAAGTATATCCATATAATATTGAATAAAGAAGTTAATACAGAATTTAGAAATTCTTATATACACATTTGAAGAAAAACTAAACAAATGAAGTATAATCCTTTTCAGTCAGTTCCTTGTCAATGCCTCTACACTTATGTATTTCGATAATGTCCCGACCTCCAAGCCGAAGGAGGTGGTCGTCTTAAAGTCAACCTCACCCCAAGTCTTTGGCTTGAAGCATGGTTCACAAGGCAGTGAGGCAGTGTTAGGAGCTACGTTTCCATGGTGTCCGGTGACCAAAATAGGTCTATGCACTATTTGTTCCGTTTGGATTCTGGAGCCCATGTTCACCATTAGTTTGGAATCAGGGCTTTCCAGCCCCTTGAGTTGGCCCAATGTATCCACCAGCCCGGTTGTAAGCCCCACACGTTCACATTTACCTCCGTCCACCCCCACAGCAGTGAATAGGATTCACTTGGGAGAGGCTATGAATGCCTGGTTATATGACAGCATTTTGAGAGGAAGAGTGAACTCTACCAACCCTCAACTGTACCAGGTCGTATACGGAGGCTGATATTTCACTTAAGAATGAGCTGCAATAGTTGGCAACTGATCAGATTTTAACTTAATTTTAGTTATTGAAAGTTCTTTGTGGCCGTCGTCAGTCTATGAACTATGCATAAATGTACATTTTATACGTTCATATTCAGCTGAACACCTAAGTATATCTGATTGATTTCAAGTTGGGTAACAAAGTAGCATCATCTAGAGAACCATTGAAAATCAGCAGGGAGTAGTGGAAGATTGTTTTGTCCCACTTTGAGACTCTTCACAGTTACACACTCATCATAGTAGAACCTTCAGGTTATGAGGAGAGCCCGTTGATCATCCAATCAGCGGAATGTATTTTTATATGAATTGATTGATTTAGGAGAAGAACAATATCGACCCATCCTCTCTCTCCGTCTTTCCCTATTTCATACATATACTTGCATTTCACTCAACAGAAAATATACGGGCAAAATAATTTTCCAGTTAATCAGATGTTATTTAATTTATCGACCTGTCTTTCTGGTATACTGTGACTAGCTGACTGAGTCATTGTGGGCGTTAATCCTAGTGTCTCGTTTACTTGATAAAATGTTATTTATGTGAATAAGGGAGATAATCATTCATTGAAGCGTAGCATACCATGGTGAACATAGGTGTTTTTTGTAGTCTGTTTGTTTTCGTCTTTAGTGTGTGTGTGTGTGTGTGTGGTTTATCTGTTCATCTATGTAATTTTAGGAAGAAAACGAGGGAATAGAAACACACACAGGAACTTTGTTCCATTTTATCTATAAAATGCATCTCAGAAGATCCCCGTCTATTTTCTTGATCGTCTAATGCACTACTGTTGCTTTGTTCAAAAAGCTTTTATTTCATTAAAATATATTATGATAAAATATTAATCATGTGGTATTAATTTCGCAAAAGCTTAGAATATACTACTCAATAACTGGCTACTAGTAGTTCATCGAGCAGTATCAACACATCATACAAACTATATCTTTCAATACGAACATCGGCAGCGGTATTATGTACAACTACCATATATATATATATATATATATATATATATATATATATATATATATATATATATATAACACAAATGCATATCTTTTGTCTAGAAGGTAATGATGCTAAATAGGGCCCCAAAACCACATGATCCTACTAAGTGGAAGTCAGGTTAATAGGCTAGCTCAAGTACTGTTAGATTGAATGTTCACACAGTTAGAGTTGTATGACTTATTTGCAGGATTTTCATTTCCATTGATCTACGAGTTGGCCTTGTAACCAGAGGCTCCTGGGTTCGAACTCTGGTGGGTGCGTACTGTGAAGAGTTTCGAACTAGTATGAAATAGCTGTCCAGTACTGCCTGGTTTCCGAATGATACTCTAACTGCTGTCAGCATGTGATCCAATCTGTAGCCAATAAAATCCCTGCTAGCCAACAATTAAAAATAATCGTTTTCTTTATAGATATAAAAGTTATGCAGTATCGGACAGTATAATTCGATAAAGGAATAGTTTTGTTTGGTGAAAGGGAACACACTGTCACTCTCAGAAAAAAGCGAACAATGATCTCCCATTCATCATTTGGGTTGCTATAATGTTCCTTCGCTGACCTAATATTCCAATTTTAGTATTTTCTATTTCTGCGATTTGTACACATTTTCTGAATCAGACTGATTTTTTTACAAGGATTCATATAGAGAATGAAATTATTATTACTATATATTCATTGCATTTTGAGTGGAACATAGGACTTCAGTGACACATTTCCACCTCATTTAGACCCCTGACATCATTTTCAGCTAGCTCAATGACTGTCCACCCTCGGTCACCCAACTCACAGCCTCCCATTCGGCTTCCACTCAATAATCTGTTGAATGTCTTCTCAGCATGTGTTTAGAAAAAGGTTCAGCTATAGCACTGCATGCTATAGACAGCGGACATAAGATCGATTTCAACAAAGTTGGAACTGTCGGAAGAGACTTTCATTCACATAAAAAAGGCTGACCTCTGAAGCCTTGCATACTTTAACCACATCGAATGCAGTAAATAATAAGAGAGAAGGGGCAGACTTATTACATACACGGCAGTCTCTAATGCAGCAGAACAGATGAGGAAAAAAATTCAGTCCTATAATATGACTGCTATGAAATATTATCAAGTTTTGATGTGTTTCCCATATAATAAACAACATACACACTCATTCATACAAACAAATATGCATATACAACAATTTGACATTAATCATTACAAATATGTGATGACCGATAAGATTTTTTATAAGTGCAAATGTCTACCAACAAGTGACCTTCGAAAGAATTCACTTCAGTGTATGCAATTTTCGAACACAACTTTCGATTCGAATAATTCTGCTGAGGAAGCTGTGGCTTACACACCAAAACGCTAGGAGAAATCTGGTTTTGATTTTTTCTTAAACACGCTTAGATTGTTTTAAATAATTTATAAAGTGATTCAATCTGACTTGACGCTCAGATTATTACAGGAAATTCGTAACATCTACGGTCCGGAAACTTATAACCGTAAGTATTTCCTTCTGAGTATTGGTTGTCGACTGATGCATTACCTGCCAGAGTTCCTTGTAACTTATCGTTTCCGCTTATATGATCTTCACTGTCAAATGAAGACAGATGTTGATGAAAGTCGAGCACTATCTCGGTCTCAACAGTTATTCATTTCAGCATCACTGAATCTTCCTCTCATTTTTTGTTCACTTTACAAACGTATGGCAACTTGATATAATAAATATTTGTAAATGACAGTTTTACATTAATTTATCAGACATTGGTAACTAGATACTTCCAATATGACTTAACCAATCATTACAATGAACAACAAAATATCAACCTTCTATAACTGTCTTCTATCTAGATGCTTTCTTATCAGTACCTTCCTAGTGTACTGTTTAAAAACAAAACCTAATTATCAATTTTTGTGAGTGATCCTCGTAAGTCGTCGTGCATATATATATATATATATATATATATATATATATATATATATATTGAAAAACCAGTGAGGACTGGACAGCTATTTCGTTCTAGTTTGAAACCCTTCATTAACACGCAACTGTAAACCCACCAGGGATCGAGCTCAAGACTCTGGGGTTGTAAGGCAAGCTCGTTGACCATGCACCCAATGGGACAGAATCCAATGACTCGTCGATTTTAACTTCTGCCATTTCAAGATTTACAACTGTATTACCCGCCAGTAACCTTATTTGTATGAAAATAGTATACTTTGTTGTCGATTAAACTATTGTTAGACAATCTTGCTAAATTTCAAGCTCAACCAAGTGAATGAAGAATTCTACCGCAGGCGTATCGTTTTCCCAGTTAAATCGCTTAAAAGTCGTCTCCCAACTGGTTGGTTTTTATCGCACCACAACCCAGAGTTTTTCTTCTTCAACTTCAGACTATTAAATGATTCACTTTTGTTTAGCTTTCATTTTCAGCAGAATGTAATGGTCAGTAATTATTTCGTCTACGCATTATTGGCTATTTTTTTCTAGGTAGCTAAACCACTGATTCGTAAGCGGTGAAATAATATCAATAATACTAAATATTGAATAAAGAATGGGAAAATTGTCGTATTTCATTTAATATTATGTATATATCTTCTGAAATAAGCAGAAACAGAACTGAAAAGCGAACAAAAAAGATTGCCGAATGACCTACAATTCTAAGGTTCTTCCCCCTCCCCCAGATATCTTACCAGTTCTCGTTAATTTACCCTTTCTTATGATTGATATTTCAATTCAAATTAATTCCTATTTGCAATGATGGACATCTTTGTTCTTTAATGCCCTGTTGAATTGTGTGTAAATTATACTGTTTGTTATTTTAGTAGTTCAAAATGTTGAACACTGAATGAATAATCGACTCCTTTCTAGGCACTTTTTTCACACCAACCGTTTCCCGCATATATTCTACGTGTTCTTCCAATACAATTGAAGTATAATGTATATAATGTTTTGAATAATTCTCATAGAAGTATGAATAGGTTTTCTTTGTGAATATAATAGAGTTTTACTGCGAAATTTGATTTTTAAATTGTTGGCTTTGAAGCTGAATAGAAGGAATATTGGATAGCTTGAAGGAATAATTCTTATTGTGCGCTTCTAGTCCAAGATTTTACTACTTGTGATGTGTGTGTGTGGTACAGTGTCACTAATCAGATGCTTCGACGATATCTAGCCATGTGACCCGAAGTCATTTGTAGATGGTGACTAGCAGTGGAATCCAGAATGCGCATTTCGTCCCATTCGGGATTCGTCATCTGGATTCCACTGCTAATCACTGTCTACCCATGACTTCGAGTTACATTACCAGAAATCGTCAAAGCATCTGCACAAAGAGCCGACATGTCAACTGAAGACCGAGCACTTTGGTCCTATCAATCGACGGGAAAATCTGAAATTAAATAAAATACATAAGAAGACCTGTTGAACAGGAGGCGGCTCTCGTGACCCAAGTGGTTTAGTGGATAACGCTTCGGTGTTTGAAACTATGGGCAGTGGACTGACTGACAGGTTTCAACTTAGGAATTCGTACAGATGTGCAGCACTTCTAGTTGCCACACTCCCTCCATGTTGCATACAAAGCAAGAGAAGTGAACAGAGACAGATTAAAAACAGAGATAATAAAAAGAAATATGAGGCAAAAAGAATAGTAATATGAAAGATTAATAGGGTATTATTGGATATAGTAAATCAAACAGAGTGAATGCATCTACGCCAGCCATTGAAAACGATTTTGAGTCATATCATCAATTTTCTCCAGTCATCGGTTTCTACCATCCCAAAAACCCCAACCAGTCAGGAAGTCTACATCTCCCCACGTGACTAGCTTAAACTAACTGTTGTAGATTTCACTGACTGATGAAGCCATGTTTTGGTTCGACTACCACTGGCTCTTTTCCAACCTGATTCTATGTCAGTCAGCTAACGTTGCCCGTCAAGGATGGAGATGTCTTGGTACACGTATGACATGATGGGCACTGGGTTCGAACCTCGGTTGGAATATTATCGTTCACTCATTGGGGAATGAAGGTACATCCCAGAGGACAAGTCACAGGTAGGACGAAATGTGCATCCTGGATGCAACTGCTGCCAGTCACCATCCACCAATTGACTTCAGAACTTTCAAGTTTTGAATTTTTAGAGTTTTGATTATTTTCATGTTAGATGAAGAACTGACATTAGCAAAAGAACTATTGAAAACCAGGGAATCCTGGACAGCTGTTTCTTACTAGGTTGGGACAGCTAATTTCAATCTATCACACAAACTCTGCATACATAAGAAGCAAACGGGTCATCAAGTTCCAGCCCAATTCGATGACTGGTCAACCAGCTGCTCCTCGTAACCTAAAAGGTTTTGGGTTCGATCCCCGATAAGGAAGAGGGTATGAACTGCTGAAGATACCAAAGCTAGAGAGAAATATCTGTCTACAATTCCGTGGTTTTCAATGGATTTCTAACGAACCTTATTCCATAATCAAACATGAAAAATAAAACAAATCCCTACAAAGTAACTCTTGAAAATACTAGAGATTACTATTTTACTGAAAAATACTGTACAAGCAGTAGGTAAAAAACACTTAAAATTCTTCACTGTATCACTCAGAATAAAGCCATTATTATCACATATATTTAACAGTAGAAATATGAACTGCGTAGGTAGAAAGCACATTTATTCTCGCAATAATTTGTACATTGAAAAAGGGTGTGTACATAATTTTCTTCCTAGAGCATTCAATGACTATTGTGTTTATTTTGCATTTGGTTTCCAGTAATCAATCAAAGTTTCCTAGGATAAATTAGATGTTATACACAAAACGATCATTAATATGAGTAAGATATTTTTCTGAAAAACATCATATTACTTATAAAATATTAAGTATTGTAAATTATCACAATATATATAGCTTGTGTCCGATATGTTGTTGCGAATGTGGCTAATCATCCTTTACTTCAACATTACCATATATGCAGTTTATTGGACTGCTCTTCAAATGATCTTTTCTCCTGCATGTTGCTGTTCCACGAATTTATTCAATGTTCACTGGTGATTGACTGCAGGATGAAATTACCCGAAGATCTAGTGACAAGTCGTGAACAGCGACTGCGCTACATATCGCGAATCGGCAGAAATTAGAACTGATGAGTCCCAGTGGCCGAATGGCGTACGAGCTGGCCTGATAACCTGAAGGTCCTGGGTTGAATCCTTGGTGAGGTTAGTGGATGCCTATTGTTGAAGAGTCCCAAACTGGGATGAAACAGCTGTTCAGTACTGGTTGGTTTTCAACAGTTCTGTAACTGAAGTCAGTTCGTGAACACTCTTGAGTTATTTAATTGACTTAAAGCATATCATTGGTAGTGATAATGAACTATAATGGCATAAAATATGTTGGAATACCTAAATTAACCGGAAACTGGTTTTACTATTTCCAATCATTACTAGTTCGGCAACGAATTATTCGGTCTAGTTTGAAATAGACTTTTGTTCAAAATCATCAGTTTCTACGTGTTCCGATAAGTGATTTGTTTAAATAAGACAGTTCTTAACAAGGTGTACATTGATGAATAAGTTTAGTAATGTAGCACTACTGAATGAATAACATATTCAAAAAGTTATATTAGACTGATTTCAACCACATCCCAACTTTTAGGACCATTCAAGTGACGATAGCAGAACAGAATGAAGCTTATCTTTGTACCATTTTGTTTAAATGTAAATGTAATGAGAATAAACAAAACTTGAGCCACAATTCTAATCCCTGATGAAAGTATTTTAAACAAAAGTCTGTTGTCGTTTCAATTGTAACTATGACTACCTCATCTGATTATGATATCGAATCAACCGACTAAATTAATGCTAAGATAGGGTTTTTCTCACAGGACAACCAGCCACATTCTCATTATCCAATGCAGTTCTTACGAATCAGAATCGAAGGCTGAAAAGATCTGACTGGGCAATTAATTACATAACGATTATTCACATGACAAGTGGGCGAAAACCAATATGATTATAGTCTGAGTTTCAAAGAGTGTTGCTTTTGTCTACTACTTGTCACTTACCTTAATCATTGTCTTAAGCACAGCTTCCCATGGATTTTCAGTGAAATCCTCAATCGGTGGAAGACATACGCGACAAAGTATCACTTTCTGGTTAGAACACAGAGAAACAAATAAAAACACAACAAAAACATTAGCATAATTATATGTTTTAGAAAGAAGTCACCTTATAAATAAATCTACAGAGAACTTTGACTTCCGTCTCAGTTAGTCTGGCGAGATACTCACTCTTCTGGTATTCATGGAGTGTCATAAGTGCAAAGAAATTAACACTTAAGAGATTTCAATCACTAATTAAAATATTTACTTGTACTGTTATGAGAGCTGTCTGCTAGCCAAAATTGGTAGATTGTAATTTACATCAGTGTTTAAGTCCCAAATCTTGGTCATGCGAAAAAACACGAACAAAGACTAACCTTCAGGAACTCAACAACCAATCACAGCAGGCTTAGCGTGGACAAATACGATTGGCAGATATATCACAGGACTGTTTAAGAAACGGCAACAAAGAGATGACAGAATAACCTTCAGCAGGAAAACAACCACTCAGAAGACGCTTCTCTGCTAACAATAACGAATAATAATGTACATAAAAATCTATGAATATCTGTTGATTTTCTCAATAAACGATCTGTTGCCTGGTCATAGTCTTCTGTCATTATAATACTTTATCAGGTAGTGTAGCATGAAAACCAGAAAGAGTGTGATGAGTAGGTTGTAGAAAACAAGTAATGTGCACAAAATATTCTGTTTGTCTGTCTCTAACATAAAGTGTGGCTCGCCGATGATTGACTATTCATAAATAAGCTGCGAATAACGGATGCTTTATACTGAAACTATTTTATTCCTTTTAGTTCTGAGTGGAACACAGGGTTTCTAGCTTCAGCTATGACGTTTCATTCGCAGTGGTGTTTTGTTTTCACGGGGTGCGGTTGCTGGCCTCACATTTGACCTTTCCTATTTACTGCGCTTAATTTTGACTGCGCGATGTTTTGAGAGTGCGTTCGCTGGGGACCGAACTCCGCATCACGAGAAATTTATTGGCTAGTCTTCTAATTCTTAACTACCTATAGACCTAACATTGAAATATCTTGTAGTGAGCAGAGTGTGGACATATATTCCTCGCATTTAACGGTCGATTTTATCAGCAGTTCAATCCAGCTATAAGAGTCGAATCATTCCGAAATACCCGAATTCTAGCTGGTTAGCTACTTGGAAAAACTGCTAATACATTGAATCGAATTTGTCATTTGCCGTGACCAGTAGGGTACAGCAGGTTGAAGATGAGGCAGTAACTCATCGAAGAAGACATTGCGAAGTGGTCGCGCTATGTCGTGAACTGGCAGAAGTTAGAATTCAAGGACCATTGGATCGGGTCCCAGTGTCTCAATGGTCTACGAGCTCGCCTTGTAACCAGAAGGTCCTGGGTTCGAATCCCGGTGGGTGCGTACTGCTGAGGAGTCCCAAACTAGGACGAAACAGCTGTCCAGTATTCCCAGGTTTTCCAGTGGTTCTCTAACTGATGTCAGCTCATGATCAAATCCTCCATGCAATCAAACAAAATCCCTACAACAAACCAATACTTAAAAATTCATCTGATGCTCACTAGTGACTGGCCCTATTCAGGCAGTTAACCTGGGGTTCTAGTGGGAAGCCGTGACCAGTAGTGTACAGCAGGTTGAAGATGAGGCAGTAACTCATCGAAGAAGACATTGCGAAGTGGTCGCGCTATGTCGTGAACTGGCAGAAGTTAGAATTCAAGGACCATTGGATCGGGTCCCAGTGTCTCAATGGTCTACGAGCTCGCCTTGTAACCAGAAGGTCCTGGGTTCGAATCCCGGTGGGTGCGTACTGCTGAGGAGTCCCAAACTAGGACGAAACAGCTGTCCAGTATTCCCAGGTTTTCCAGTGGTTCTCTAACTGATGTCAGCTCATGATCAAATCCTCCATGCAATTTGCGAATTACACAGTTCCGAATGACTAATCATCACAATTTCCTTTGTAAAGCTGAACTATTCATATCACAATATAGGGACTACTTGATGTGAATAATGGTGTAAAAAGCACGCGATATATCATCATGGCACTTACTAACTAATAACCGATTGTGAATCGACTAGTTCGGATCTCTGGGTTGGAAAAACCTTCTACATCACTGATAAGTTCGGGTCCAAATAGGCGAAGTGGCCGTTCGGTGTTTATATCACGTCGATCCATCCAGCAAATACTTCTGCATGACATGAGTCATTCGCTACTCCTCATATTAACGAGTAGTATGTAAAATCATGCTAAGGCTAATTACACTTTCATGAAAGTACGTTATTTATAAAAGACCGGATATCTACAGATTTTTCCTAAAACATCATATGAAATATCACTGCTTCATACGGACCTTGATCAAGATTTGACCGGATAGTTGCAAAATAATTGAGCACTGAGTGAGAAGTAGACATTTATAAAATTATATTTGTAAAATCTCAGCGAAATTTAAATGATTAATTCCAACGTTTCGTTCGGCAATCTGGTCCGAACTTCTTCAGGGAAATTAATCGAAATTAACATAACAGAGCTTTATATATAAAAGAAACATCTTTTAATTTTGAAACTTTGTCCAATCATGAGTCGTGAAACAGAAATCAACATGTATAATAAACAAAATTGTATGTTTATATATAAAAGGACATCTCTTGTTTTTAAAATTGTTTCTCCTGTCATATGAATCATGAAACAGGTATCAACAGGTATAATAAACAAAATTTTTATGAACTGTGGTCAAAATTTGACCTCATACTTTCAAAATTAACTATTAGAATTAAATAGCGAAACGTCAGTAAAAACAATATCGTTTTTGTTTTTCATTCATCGGGAAATACAAAAACTTTTATTATAATGATTAGTCTACTCTTGTTAAAATATATGTGTATATGCAGTATACAATGGTGTCTGTATATATATGGGTGGGTGAACAGTCACAAAACATCCGTTATCCTCTCCATAAGAAAACGTAGACAATCGGGAATTTGATCAAGTATGACTAGCTGTTGATATACATCGAATTTTATTTATTAGTCAGGATTTGCCATGCATCAGCTAACATCACACCTTCACGTCTCTACAAACTGTTGGGATTCACCCATATATGTAGGGCTGCTGCAGTCAGTCTTTCTTTATATGAACCAAAATCTTTCTGTAAAACCTTAGTCTTATCAAAGTCGACTTTGTGTCCCGTTTCTATCGAATGCAGTGCGGTCGCTGAGTTGTTTTCTAGCTTCTTCAAGTCTGCAGAGGTCTTTAGAACCACCTCTAGACATTGTTTACGCTCTTTCACTCTTATATTTACCTGTCTGGAAGTTTCTCCTACATATACGGCGTTACAATCCCCACAATTGATCTGGTATACGAAATTCTGTTTTTTTCTTGTTCTATTTTATCCCTAACCTTCACCAGTAATGAGCGCAAGGTGTTAGTTGCACGAAAATACACTCTTATGTTATAATCGCTGAGGATTCGCTTCATCTCATTGGATGTTTCTTTGTGGTAAGGAACCACCGCTGTACTAAACCAATTCTTTGCAACAGGTTTTGATTCATCCTTATCTTCATATTTTAAATATCTTTTTATGAAGTCTTTAGGATAATTATTTAATTCAAGAGTGGATTGAACCAATTTTAGTCCCTTGCTAACATCTTCCTCCTCAGTAGCTAGACGTTTGGCTCTGTTTATCGGACTCTTGACAACAGTTACTTTGGTGGTAAATGGGTGAGCTGTCTAGGTATCTATCCTAATTTGTCGGCTTTCTGAAAATGTTTATTTTGAATTCGCCATCTAATTTTCTTTTAACTACACAGTCCAGGAACGCCAACTCATTGTCATCGGATTCAACCTCTTTGGAAAAATTGATAGTTTCTGACATATTGTTTATTTAGTGAAGAAGTTCATTTAATAAACTACGTTTGATTATGACGAAAGTATCATCTACGTAACTTAACCACATCTTTGGGGGACTAAGGCATCTCATAATTGCATTTGTTTCTAATGAGTGCGCAATCAGATTGGCGACTAGCGGAGATAGTGCAACTAACACCTTACATATATACACCTACATATATGGGTGAATCCCAACAGTTTGTAGAGACGTGAAGGTGTGATGTTAGCTGATGCATGGCAAATCCTGACTAATAAATAAAATTCGATGTATATCAACAGCTAGTCATACTTGATCAAATTCCCGATTGTCTACGTTTTCTTATGGAGAGGATAACGGATGTTTTGTGACTGTTCACCCACCCATATATATACAGACACCATTGTATACTGCATATACACATATATTTTAACAAGAGTAGACTAATCATTATAATAAAAGTTTTTGTATTTCCCGATGAATGAAAAACAAAAACGATATTGTTTTTACTGACGTTTCGCTATTTAATTCTAATAGTTAATTTTGAAAGTATGAGGTCAAATTTTGACCACAGTTCATAAAAATTTTGTTTATTATACCTGTTGATACCTGTTTCATGATTCATATGACAGGAGAAACAATTTTAAAAACAAGAGATGTCCTTTTATATATAAACATACAATTTTGTTTATTATACATGTTGATGTCTGTTTCACGACTCATGATTGGACAAAGTTTCAAAATTAAAAGATGTTTCTTTTATATATAAAGCTCTGTTATGTTAATTTCGACTAATTTCCCTGAAGAAGTTCGGACCAGATTGCCGAACGAAACGTTGGAATTAATCATTTAAATTTCGCTGAGATTTTACAAATATAATTTTATAAATATCACTGCTGTTAAATTGTTCACTTAATTGTTGAGTGAAGGAGTTTTCTACACTGACTTAATGGTAATGAAGGTCTGTCTTACATTTCTGAATCTACCGCTGTTATCCTTATCCTTGCCCTCTGAATTTAGGACGATGCTTTTATGATGTTACCAAGTGTGAGTACGAATGCAAACTGGCAGTATGAACACTTGATAATTTCCTGATCGAAGATCCCCTGATCCGAACTAATGAAATCCAGAGGACCCACACAGTGGGGTTAAAAACGTGTATTTACGAAACGATTGGGAGAAAGAGTGACCTAGAGTTTAAAAATGTATTGGCATATATTAATTCAGTCATAAGAGTGAAATTGTAGGTGTTAACTGCATGCTGGATTCTAACTGGTTGACGGTCATCGTTTGACCGGTGATTTATTTTTATCTGCCTAACAGACTAATGAGATAGATTATGGATACATATCAGATGCTGACCTAATAAGTCAGACCATTGACTTCCTTTGAATTTCCTCGTTAACAGTGATTACTGTTTGTTGTTGTTGTTTAGGAATGTTCATCACTTAAGTCTTGATTATGTTCACTTGAATTCCTGTCTTCACCTCTTCTTCTCACGACTTGTAAATTTTCGCCTGTAAGTCTTTGAGCTCGTAGGACATTAAACATAAATTGTCCACAAAGTCCAGATCGTTTAGTCATCTTGTCGACCTAATGTATTCCTGTCTTTTCACTCTCCACGACCTGTCGCCATGACCCAGGCCACTACAATTAGGAATTATATCGGTGATAGTAGACGGCCTTGTCTTACTCTTATGATCACTTCAAAAGCTTCGATGAGCTTTACGTCGTGAGTTACTTGACGTATAGCATCATCATACAGTTGTCGAATGAGTACGATAAAAATTTAGAACATGGGGTAGTGTTGACGGAGTGTTCAAATTAATTCACGGTCAACGCTATCGAAGACCCTTTCAAAGTCAATGAAATTGAGACAGAAACTTCACTATCATTCTACGCTATGTTCAACGATGATGCGTAGCAGCACTGCAATTTGTTCTGCAGATTATTTGCCTTTCCCGAACCCAGCTTATTTCGGGAGTAGATTTGCATCAAGAGCACCTTTTAGTTTCTCGATAATAATGTGACTTAATATTATACTTGATGTGACCAGGAACATGATTCTGCGACAGATTTTGTAAATACTTCGGTCACCCTTTGGTAATTTGACAAGGTGACACCTTATTTTAATCAGTAGCTACTTTTCCCTCATTCGAAACTTTCTGCAATACCCGGATGAGAATATCCATTGAAGTTTCTGGATATGTTTTTAGTGTTTCCGAAGGAATTCTGTCTGGTATGTGTATGCATGGACTAACCTTTAGTCACTTTGATCGTAAGTGGAAAAATTTTATTTTCTTCTGATTGCCATTGAGTCTTACAGTGAGCTAAGCTTACGCTTTATACGATATCCTTATAGGTGAATAAGACAAAACAAGCTTAATCACTGTTAATTTTGATGGTTTACAAATTTACATTGTTTCTATTTGCTAATTTACATCAATATCAGACTTACTTTACCAATTGCATGTGCGACACGAACATGTGCTGCTACACTAGCACAATTCAATTGTTCTTTATCTGTAGTAGCTGTTGAATCACTAGAATCCACTAGAACACAAAATGCAGCATGTCTAAGGTCAGGAGATTCAGCATAAAGAAGATAATCAGCACCGCCTACACATGCACCTGGACGTACAATCCAACCTTTAGATCTGTAATATATGTACACAGCATAACGACGTAATAAATTTATTTCTCTTTCTGAATATTTTTCTATTTGATCACGAGCTGTCTGTATTTGTAAACAAGGTAGATCAATGGATCCTGTACACATATGTAACCAGAGTAATACCTTTTTAATGAAGAAAGGGATATACACAAAATAGAGAAAAAGAGACGTGAATTGGACATTTTAATCTTTTCAGAAATTGAAAGTAAATGTTTGAAATTAAGCGCTATCGTTGGCGTGTGTTGAACGTTGAGATTTAATCACAAAAAACAACGCAATTAGTTTAAAATATAAATAAATTATTTAAATGATATAGGACTGTCAGTGAACAGTAGTGCAATTTATGAGTTAGCGCTTCTGTATGGTTCATAGACTAGGAGCACACGTAGCCAATACCATTTCCGACAGGCTACAGACTTTCATCAACAGCTGCCCCTACTCGATACTGAAGATTAGATAGCCGGCAAGAAAGCATAAATAATAACGAACTCTAGGAGGCTACGAACCAGTCAAGAATCTATCGGCCGACACATATATGGAGGGGAATGAAGCTTTGGTAGAACATACCTTGAGAAGACCTTCAATGGATATCAGATACTAGGCTCTTGAGTAGAATTCGAAGGAGGAATCGAGAGGTTGGGCATCCCATATCGACGTTGAGATTATATGAAGAGGAAATAGGAGATTATCGCCAGTCAAGGAGCCAGTTGAAAGTGACTGAAGTGAGCCAGGTAAAATGGGGTTGTTCCACTCGAAACGCAAGGAATGAATAATAATAAATTTAACAGCCAGTGTTGTTCGTATGAAGAGTAGAAAGTAAAAGCAAAATGTTAGACAGGTGGTGGGAGAGTATATGAACATTCAGCCAAAGGAGTCAGTTTCCAGTAGAACAGCACTACTATGAAAACTTAATCTGTATTATAAGAGAAGAATAAAGGTAGTGAAGACAAATGGCAGACTGACTGATCAGCATTAATTTCAGGGAAACACTATTGGAATAAATGAAATAGTTACACTCAATCAATCAGCATATTTAATTTCCATTGTTAGATTTCGACACAAACCAATATTAGGTAGAGAGATCATTGAGAACCAGACAGCACTGGGCTGCTGTTTCACTCTGTGTTGGTACTCCTTAGCAATGCGTGCCTACGAACCCATAAATCTGATAAACTAGGTATCAATCTTCAGATCACTGATGCCTACTGGATGGATATCCTAAAGCTACAGTGAGCTGTCATCAGTGGAGTTCACCATACCAAGGTGAAGTGGATGCTCGTCGAATGCATTGGTGAGGGTAGCTCTATATCACGAGTTGACGAAGGTGGAAATCACGGGCTGTTCAGTTCCACTTCAATTGTCTGAATCGTCCAACAGCTTACCCTCACAGCCTGAATGTTACGGAAACAAACCTAGTGGGGTTGTGGATGCAGACTGATGAAGAAGTTTCAATCTAAGACAAAAGAGCTGTCTTCCGATGCTGTCTGGTTTTCAATGATATAACAACTGAAGGTAAATAAATCTAAATCCCATAATCTAGATATCAATCAGAATATACTCGCATATCTAACATTACTACATAGTTATTGGAATTGTCACCTGTCATATTCGATTATAAAAGACGAAGACGAAAACCAAAGGTGAATTATTCTAGAATCTATGCTGATATATATATATATATATATATATATATATATATATATATATATATATATATATATATATATATAGTGATTATGAAGATAAATATGAATGCATCTTTGCCACAGCAATCGCTACTTAACCACACCACATGGAAGTTGTAACCATGTAACCTACAATTTGTTTGCATAGTTCAAACTGATAGTCAATGACTTTACGCCTTGATCTGGTCAACCTTCTTTTTCTCCACCCCGCTTTAATCTAAATTCCGTCAACATGGCACGCCTAGGCACACGGTAGGTAGGTATCCATGATATATAATCCAATCAGTTCAGTAGTGATAGAAGGTTTATAATCCTTTCACCTATCTGGGCTTGATTCCATGGAACTCAGCTAATTTAATGGTCACAGCTGAAAACCATCAAGCAGGACATAGTTCACTACTTGCTTCAATAAACTATTAATGAACCTTCAGGAATTTCGCTTAAACTATAATTACAACAATCCAGTATAATTTTGCATTGATCAATACCTATGCAAGCAATATTTGCATCTTTTAAAGTCCAGAAGGTAATATATAAAGAATTTGTCAAGAAAAGTTAACGAATTGATCGATTAGACCCGATAAAATGAACAACGGGATATTCGAAGTACCGAACAATGGCAAGTGATATCGGCCACATAAGGGTCCGCTTGCTTGAGTGGTAACGCATAGTGCTCTGGTGTTTGTGTTAACAAATTCTGCACTTCGATTGCAACATCTGTCCCTCACTAGAATCCAGATTCACTTGTGTGGCCAGTTCCATGTTGAATGGAAAGTGAATTTTTGAATTCCACTGCTAGCCAACAATAAGTAGTAACTTTGTTTTCGTCAGTTTGTACTTCCCGTTGATTGATTATATTGAACCTAAATGTTCGATTTTTGTTGATACGCCGGCTCCTAGTACGGACGCCGTGACGATGTCTGAAGACTAATATGATGTTCTTTAGGTGAAAGTAGTTAGAAGTGGAATCCAGGATTTGCATTTCGCCTTATATGGCCTCACTGAAATAAATCAACGTGAAATGCGAATAAATTTACATAAAAAACAAATGACACTCCCGGTGCTCTCGTTACCCAGTGGTCTAGTACATCACTCTATGGCGTTTTAAACGATAGATGCTGCATCCTAGTGTTATAGGGGAAATCATCGAAAACTAAATATGTAAATACATCCAGGTAAGGACTCTCAAACAGGATTCCCCGAGTAAACTATCATCAATTCAATAGCAGTGAGTAGGAAAATGAGACAGGACTGCAAACGGAATAAAAATTAACCTCTGTCAAACTTCTCATATTGATTGTGACTGGTACTGGTTGTGGTTGTTGTTGTTGGTTGGTTATCTTCATCACTTCCGTCTTCTCTATGTCCACCTGGAGTCCTGTCCTCGCTGGCAGCTTCTTCAGATAGTTTGTTTGTTTTCGCTTGCTTTAAGTCTTCGAGCTTGTGTGACATTTTACATAAATCATCTGCGAAATCCAGATCTTCTAGAGCCTTCTGATTGGTCAGTGCAGCGTATTCCCTTCTTCTCACTCCCTGTGCACAGTCTGACGCATAATCTAGTTCACCGAAATTAAGAATATCATCAGTGGTAATCGGCACCTCTGTATTCACTTCGAACGCCTCTCTGAGTTTTCCGTTCTGGATCACCTGACACGTGGCATTGTCTTACAGCCAGCTGTTGAATGAGGTTGATTAAGACTTGGGTACTGTACGCCGTAGTGTTGAAGCAGTTTCCAAATTACTTCGCGATCAACGTTATCGAAGGCCTTTTCGAAGTCGATGAAGTTGAGGTAGAGGTTTGACTATCATTCCATGTTTTATTCGATGAAAATGCGTAGAGTTGCGATTCGATCAGCACACGAGTTGCTTTTCGTGAATCTAGCTTGTTCAGGTTGGCGGAGTTCCGTATCCAGTGCATCCTTTATTCTCTGCCGAATGATGCGACATAATATTTTACTTGGCGTGTACAAGAGCATAATTCCACACCAGTTCTTGCAGAGGCGTAAGTCACCCTTCTTTGGCAGTTTGATGAGGTAACCCTTCTTCCAATCAGTAGGCACCTTTCCTTCTTTCCAAACCTTTTTCAGTAATGGAGTGAGAAGATCTGGCGTAGTCTCTGGGGCCATCTTTATGGCTTCGGAAGGGATGGCGTCCGGTCCTGCTGCCTTCCCAGACTTCAGTAGCTTGATCGTACTCAGGATTTCTTCTTTGGCTGGAGGAGTGGTGTCCACCGGCAGTTCTGTGCGTGCTGTTCATGCGAGTTTCTGATGGTGGCCGATTCAAGAGTCCCTCAAAGTGATCAGTCGATTGTTTGATTTGTTTCTGCTCCTTGGTGATCGGGTTCCCTTGAGCATCTTCTATTGGGTTTGTCATCTCGGTTTATCTCTTACCATATATGAACTTGGTTATCTGATATAGTGTCCTGACGTCTTTTTTTGCCTGCGGTCTGTTCTGTTTCAGTTGCCGGCCAGTGTGTCGCAGAATTGTTGTTTGCCTTTTCTAGCACTCTTCACTTCTTTATCGAGTGAAGTGTACACTGCATTCAGCTTCTTCTTCTGTTGTCCAACGTTGCATTGGGTCATCTTCTCTTTCACCATCCTCCTCCCCTCGATTAACTTCCAGGCATCCGTTGACAGCCATTCCTTGTCTTGTCTCTTTCTTCTTCCTAGAACAGTTGTACACGTTTCCTTAAATATGGTTTTCAGAGAGTTCCAATGTTCTTCCACACAGGACCTCACTGATATCACGTAGTGTGTCCGACTTTTCTTTGATCTGATCTGTAGCGAAGGCATCTCTCTTAGTTTTGTTTTTCAGTTTCTGAATGTTGAACTTAAACTGTGGTCTGTCTTCACTTGTTTTACTGGATTCTAGATTCACCTTGAAGGTCCCTTGAACTAGGTGATGGTCTTAGCCCACATCTACTCCTTTTCTTGACTTTGTGCCCAGTAGGATAGCTGCGTCTCTACTTCCTTGAGACTGAGATGAAATCTATCTGGTTTTTGGTGTGTCCCTCAGGCGAAATCAATGCTGCATTGTGTATATTTTAGTGTTTGTACACGCCCCCTCCGATCACTGAATCGTTGAAAGAGCAGAAGTCTGCGAATAATTCTCCGTCCTCATTCATTTCTCCGAGAGCCTCTCGACCCATGATGAGTCCTCTTCCTGTATTATCTGCTCCCAGTTTCGCTTGCATTTATATCGCCCATAAGGATTTCGTTCTCACCATTTGGGATGTTGTCCATTACTGTTTGTAGTTGTTTGTAAAAGCTTCCTTCTTTACTTGTTCAGCGTTGTTTTTATGTTGTGCGTATCATTGGATAATTGTAACCTTCCTTCCTTCCTCTTGAGTTGAATCTTGCAGTCATGATCCTAAATGATATTGGTTCCCAATACATTAAGACTTTGGCTACCGCTGGCGACATCACTATAGCTACTCCTTCAGTGTGCTCGTGGTTGTCGTCTGGCTGGCTGGAGTAGATTACTGTCTCTCCAGTCGACAATTTGGATAATCCACATACGTTCCACTTGCTTTCGTAGAAACCCAGTACTTCAGTTCCATATCTTCACATCTTTTTGGCTACCTGGGCAGTCAGTCTTGCACATTGTACGGCCATTCCACGTACTTATTCTTACCTTTGCTTTCATTGAGAGAAGATATATCGGCTGACTGGCTTCCCGAAGGCTTTCATCAGCCCGCATCATTTCGCCTCTTGATTCGAGAGAAGAATAAGATTGTTGTTATTTGACGTTTTGTATTTTTAATATATTTTCTGTGTGTTGAAGTTTCTGTAGCGGTTTGAAAGATGTAGTGGTGTGGGGTTGCTAGCCCTATGCCCAACCCTCCATCTTTACCCGGGCTTTGGACTGGCTAGAAAACTAGCGAGCTAGTTAACTAGGCGAGGTTACGCCAGTGTATACACACAAAAAACTTTATTTAATGCTTATTTACTTACCAGAGACAATGGTTTCAAAGGTTGAGTTTCAGTACTTGCATCTGACTGTAAGCTGGCATCGGTTGGCAGGTAGACATCTAGACAACCAAGTCCATGAAACAGAAATAATGTCTAAAAATGTAAAGCGCACAGTTAGAAAAATAGGTATATTTGTATATATAAATGTAACAAGCTGCATAATACATTTATAAATCTTTAGATAATTATAAAATAAATTATAAAATTTGTTCAAAATAGTGAAAAGCAAAATGTTATTCAATGTTTCACTGATTCGATGTTAACTGAACAATTGAGAAGTGATTTTCTTCGTTTGTTTTAAAAGCTTATAGTGTAAGAGAAGTTTCATCGAGTTCTAATAATTAGTGATAGATAATTTCATTATTTCAAACACTTGATGGACGGAGATCATTCAACTAAGCCAAGAGAAAAAAGCACACAGGAAAGGGATATACAAGGAAAGAACTAAAGACTTATTTCATACGACCATTTCATAAACCAACACCTATTACATAAGAATTAGAATTAGCAGCTGACTTGTTACCACTGCAAACTTATGTGATTGCGTTTTTAAACTATCGGTTACCAAAAATACCCTTTTCCATAAAATAAATATCACTTCAAAGTGTGTTTATGCTTTCTGAGCTATTGAAACTTCAAAGTTCAAGCTTACAGCCCTACGTTCCACTCGGAAAGCAAAGGCATATGAAGAAACACAACACTTGTATTATACATCTTTTAATCTTGATGCACCCGACATAGTACACTTATAGCCTCCAGAAGTACGAGTCAAACTTCAGGGAATAGAAAAATAGTCAAGACGCAAATAATCCACTGTATCGTGTGCGCAATCTGAAACAATGAATCTGAACAGTTAACAGAAACTTGAACAAAGGACGAACAATCCGTGTGTGATTTGTTTCAACTACCTATGACCTGAACAATGCAAAAAAAACACACTATAAGTAACACAGGTATGAAATTAGATGGTTGGAGGCAACCGGAAGAAAGCCTCAGATTCAGGCTCGCGAGCCTGAAGGGCTCAATGGCAACATAGCTGACTACAACACTAGGTGATGCGGGTTGGAATCACAGAAGGGATATGAGTTCCTTCGAGGTTGCAGATACGACTCGCTGACTGGTTAGTGCCGACTAGCACGAAACCTAGGTGGTCCAAGGTTTCCTGCTGATTGCCTTTAACCACCCAATACCAATAATTCATAGTGCACCGTCACAGCAAGCGACCTAGCATGTCGACCACATTGCAAACTTGACTGATAGAACTCGGTCCGCACTAAAGATAGGACTAAGCACACAAATTACACTAGCTACTGACTAATGTCCAATTAAAACAGGTGTGGAATGATGTAATTAAATTATTAGGAGTTAAATGAATTGAATATTTATAGGAGAATCAGACAAATATTCTTTGAAAGTAGGAGACAGAGGTCAACATTTTGGACAGAAACAAAGTTTAACTTGGGGAGAATATATCATTTAAATTATTATTTTTCATAAAATAACAGAAAAGATGGAAGTGAGTGACGTTCAGATGAGAAAAAAGAATTTTTTCACAGAACAGAAGTTATAAAAGAATTCATGGTGCGAAAAAATTGTATGAGGTTGTTCTATAAGTTCAATCATCAAGGAAGTACAAAGTTCACTATTGTTTCCCTTTCTGGGAACATAGATTTGGGTTTAACCGTTTGATGGCTATCGTATCAACAAAACGTAGCAAGCTTGGTTTATTTTGCCTGTAGATTGTTTTAAGCACCTTTAAACTATGGACAATATGACGAGTACTCAATAGATGGCACACCACTTCACTTTTTAATATTTATGAGCCCCTTACTCTCTGCTCTTCAAATTGAAGTATGCGCTGAAGATGCCGACTAGCAGGGCGACAAAAGCTTCGGAAATTAACTATCCAGCTCAGAGAACATAACCACATCAAAATAATCTGTATAGTTAAACTTTGTATCTATCCAAGGTTTTCGATTCTATCTTTTCTCAAAATTATTCGTCTAATCATTTTATAAATGGTTAATTCTTTTAACTACACACATCAGTCTGGACTTGTGTCATTCAGTGTGTGCAAATAGCTGATTGTCATCAACGTTGAAAAGTATGTTCGGAAGTCATGACCAGTAGGGTGCAGCTGGTCGGGTGTGAGGACAAATACTCGCCGAAGACATTGGCTAGCGGTCGCGCTATGTCGTGAATTGGCAGAAGTTAGAATTCAAGGACCATTGGATCGGGTCCCAGTGGCTTAATGGTATACGAGCTCGCCTTGTAACCGGAAGGTCCTGGGTTCGAATCCCGGTGGGTGCGTACTGATGAAGAGTCCCAAACTAGGACGAAACAGCTGTCCAGTACTCCCAGGTTTTCCAATGGTTCTCTAACTAATGTCAGCTCATGATGAAATCCTGAAATCAATCAAATCCCTACAAACCAACACTTGAATATGTTCGGATCTATTTTATAGTTTATATGTATATATTGTTCAGGTTGTAAGCAATTGCATTGAACTATATACTACTCGCATGAACTAGTAGTGCTTGCTAGCCAGACTGAAGCGATTTAAACACTATGATAGCCGTTTCGCTCGTTTCATACCTAGTTTATCATCGGTGTACCCGATTTGACTCAGCTCAGATAGTCTAATCAGTTCAATCGATTCCATGCGTTCAGATCACTTCGATCTCAGCGGCTAACAAGCACTACTGGTTCATATGGGCGATGCAGAACTTCTCATCTCAACGAATCAATCAGTAGTATTTAGTTTTATGCAAGTATGCTTGACTTCTTGATCACCATTTATAGTATCAAGGAGGTCGCACATATTGTGATGATATGAATAATTTTGGTTTTCACTTAAAACTGTGGTTGGTGAGATTTCACCTCCTCAAACTGTGTAAACTGCAAATTAATTTGTAAATTATGACATTGATTTAAGTTGTAGGTAGGGGTGAAAAGAATCCGTGAAATAATAACAACAACAACAAAATAATGAGCTCATATTATCCTTCTACATATTGATTGTTTTTCATTTGTTCAAGATTATTGATAAAAAAAATTGTATGAAGTTAACAGGAAACTAGAAAAATCCATTTTTGTCTTTAATAATAATTGACTATGTATTCAAGACCCTTCCATTTTTCACCTTACAAACAGAAGAGAAATATTCACATTTCTTCTTTCGAATGCCTTTAGAATTTTCCTCGAGTTAAGAAAATATTAATTTAGCCTCAATGTAGGTGCACAATTTGGACATTATGGTAGAATTTCATTCCATATTTGATAAGTTTATTAAATATAACAGGTGGCGGTACAGTATTGATAACTCGATCCAGCTACACAAAAACAACCAATCACACTCTAGGTTACCAGAAGAGATGATTGGTAAACCCGTGGAGAGCTTTAAGAGTCTATTGAAGTACGCCCTAGTAACACAAAGAGAGCTTCGCAACTAAACAATGCAGCTTAAAAATCATCCACCTGAGCTATAAATTTTCCCCATCATATATACATATATGTACAAAATTACAAAATTAAAACATACTTCAACATCACTTAAAACCAACTGTGTTACATCTGCTTTTTTGAGAATAGTTTCATTTGTTTTAGAACCAGTACTGAAGAAATTACTGTCAAGTGGACTATCTGTGTCTGATGTATTCCCATTTTCATCGTTGCGATCATCATCATCATCGTCGTCGTCTGTATCATAATCTCTAGGAGAATATGGAGAAAGAGAAATATCATTTATAAGGGTGAAAAAAGCCTGAAATAGTGATTTCATCAAACAGACGCACACGAGGATGTAGTTAAAATGTATTGTAATAATGATCAAATTAGATCTTAGGTCAACATCTGATTCTGTAATACCATAATTTGTATGTCTATTTTTAGTTTATGAAACATTCTAATCGCAGAATAAGCTTATTTAAAAGTATTCTGCGTATAACTGCAGTAACCGATAATGATTATTATGTAATTTTTGTTTATGGTTAGTGTTGTGAGTGATACACAACTGTTCATCTCCATGATTCAATAAAACATAGTTTTGTGCATTTATGTTTGCTTCGTTGATTATCATCATATATGGCATCAGGCAGATCCCACACACATTGTAGTCTGAATATTCTACGTTTTCAGGGGCAACTGTGTTGAAATAATCACCTGGAACTGGGTAAATTGTGAATTGACTTTCAAATTGCGAATTTGATTTATGAGTTATCCTTATGAATAATATAATGGACAGACATCTGGTAACTCTGTTAGTTGAGCGGTGAACTAGTAAGTTGGAAACATAGAACCGCCTAATATCAGTTCAGAGAGTATCATGATGGCAAGCTATTTATGTAACTTAGTGAATCAACACATTGCAAACTTGATTGGCAGAATTCAGTCTGCATCAACACCAACGACTAGAGGCATGAGTTTGGTTACAACCTAGTGGTCAATAAAGGCAGAGGGAGAGAGAAAAATCTGCAGATAGTAAAAAAGAAATGATTAAACTGAGACAAAAACATGTTACACAAAAATATACATACTACTAGCATGTATATGAATAATGGCTTGAAATTTTATTTGCTAGGCTAAAATATAATCAGTCAAGTTTCAACGTCGCATTCCAATCATAGAAGTTATTACCACAATTCGTCAAATGGGTGAATAGCTGGCTAGAATTTGCATCTGCCGTTCCACACTATCCGCATGTCTAAAAAAACTGAAGACCTTATCATCTGATTAGTCGATATAATTCCATCGGGAGGACTATCATTATCATCTGGAGTTCGACTAACTGTAGTGCCCCGATCACCATGTTACGAAAATATTTTTAACTAACACTCCGGTGTCAGTTTTAGTGTTTCATTTTAGTAGCATATTACATGGACATCTAGTGAAGAAAAAATTAGATTCACCAAGATCGAAATGTGTTCACCTGAAAACCTACAAAACAAAATTTTACATATCTTGGAATTGCATACTAGATGATATATATACTACTGATTATGATATAAGTAGTTAGAAACCGTCCACATCAAAAACAGTAATGCTTGCTGGTCAGATCGAAAAAAAGGAAGATTGAACGTGAGCACCCTCACCTTATAAAAGCAACAACACAGCCATTGACACTGCAGGGCCTCAAGCGTGGAAACCTGTATTCCGCTCATAACGCAAAGGAATGGAAAAAAGGTGAAAAACACTGGCCGATTCGGCATTTATAATAATAAGAAGAGTGGGCTTGGAAAGGGATTTCAGGATTCATTGTGAACTGACTTCAGTTACACAGCCATTAAAGACCAACCAGTAATGAACAACTGTTCTTCCTAGATTGGGATTTTTTAGGAGTATGCAAACATGACCCTAATCATCAGCGATTGAACCCATGACCTTCAGGCTACAAGGAGAGCTCGTAGACCACTCAACCACTGGGATGTAATCCTATGGCCCATCAATTCTAACTTCTGCTGCTTCACGGTACAAAGTGTGGCTGCCACTAAATGCTACCGGCGAGTCTATACACTTGCATACGACGTAATGAACATCGCTGATCACCACTTCTCACTGGAACTTCAGGCAAATTCATCCTATTCTTTTTAGAAATTTTATTCTTTTACGTTCCCAGTGGAAAAGAGGGCTTCAAGGTAGAGGCTTGGAGTTTCGGTAGCAGTGGTGTTTATTTTTACGGAATGGAGTTTCAAGCCTCATGCCCAACCTTCCCACTTTATCAGTTTTATTCCTGGCTTAGCGAGGTAAAGAAGTGAGTCGGGTGGGGATCGAACGCAGGATCACCTGCGTGGTCGGCGAACATTCCACCACTATCCCGACCGACTCCAACTTCGTCCTATAATTAGTCACTAATGGGCACTAGATTAATTTCCAAGCTAACTGGTTTAGTGGTTTCAAGTTTGATCACTGATTGATGCCAGTTAAAGGACCATTAAACATCAGGCAGTACTGGATAGCTGTTTCGTCCCTAGTAGTGACTGTTCATCCATAAAACCACACACCAGGGAGTCGAAAATGAGGATCTTCAGGCTACAGGGATGAGATCCGAGGACAGGTGAGCACTTAGTTCTCTCTTTTTACAATTTTAGCACGACCGTCATTCTGGGTTCGATCCTTGGTGGAGTAAATCATGCATGCATACAGCTAAAGAGTCCGAAACTAGAATGAAGTAGCTGGTTTTCAATGGTTCAATGGTAATCACAACTGGATTCACTTCCTGATCAACCTCGAAATCAATCAAATCCTTGTAAACCAACACTTGAAAGTTGATTAGCATAGAAAAAAAACAGGAAATTAGGCATGCATACATATCGTATGTAATCACTCCGCTTACGTACCTAGTGGTAGACATCTTGATTTTATGCATAATGTCGGATTCCTGACGTTTACCGGTACCGTAACAGCCCTTTTATTCAAAAGCAAAAAATAAAATAATGACAAACAGATGTTTATATTCACAGACATACAAAGAAAGTGTGAAAGAAAGTGAAGTATTTAATGTTTAATGATAAAAAACGATATATAGAAAAGTAATAATATTGCCTCAGTGATTATTTATTTAATAAAACAAAAAAGTTATTCGAATGGTAATTGAAATTCATTCACTAAGTTCTTCTTCCCCACTCCGCCCAACCGATCAATAAGTTAAAATGCGAAATCAACTATAGTTGGAAGAAGATTACCAAAGTCAGTAATATCACAAAAAGATCGATGTCTTTAGCAAGCATATGAAGCCATTTCTCGTTCTATATATATATATATATATATATATATATATACGCTGAGGAGACACTCAAGGGACATTGCAAACCAGGTTGGGCGTGTACTCGAGGGTGACATCGAGAAGATCATGTAAGGAGGAAATGAAAGCTGTCGGCCAGGTTTGGAGCCAGTTGAAAATGATTTTCAGAAAGCAGAGGGGGGTGAAGATGTGGCACTGAAGCCCTATGTTGTGCTTGGAACAAACAGTAATTATAAAATCTGATCACATCAACAGTCTTTCCCAAAGCACAATTTTACACTTGAAACAAAGCTTCAGTTAAACTAGATCAACAAGAGGAATCACTGCAAGCTTAAGAATGCATGCAACATGTACTTTGTTTCAGTTTAGGACTGTCTTCAGGAACAATGTGAAACTAAGGGCAAACTTAGTAAATTATTATTGCTGAGATGTCGCTGAAAGAAAATACGCAAATTGTTTACCAAATATGTCAAAGACAGTTCCTCACTGTTGGCGACATTTATGTGTATTTACTAGTTCGCTTGTCCTAGATCGTACTATCGGGACACTGTCTGGAGGCGCTCATAAAAGCATGGTTGTTGAAATGAGAGCGTAGAACAGTCAACAGCTCGATTCTGCACAACATTATTACTTCTGGTCATTAAGTACTCATAGAGATTTCATTGAAAGCCATATATACAGTAAGACCACAGTGGGAAAGAAGGATTTCGCCTACATCTTCTTCGTAGAGCAGAAGCTCTCGCAATCCATTAGAAAACGCTGGGACTTTGTGCTCAGATACGTTCTATTCAGCCTTTTTTTAAAAAATACAATGACTTATTTTTATTTTATTTTGTTTCAATTTATTTATTATTTAGACTCTGTGTAATTTCTGTGTATGACCGAGTTCCAACTAACAGTGCCTGTGCCTCATTATTTTCCAGTCATAACTTGTTATTTTTCACACATTTTGACTTATCTTTGTTGTCAATTAACATTGTACACACAAACCCTAAATAGTGTACGTGCAACAGCTCACAACCCCACTCCGTAAAAGCGACATCATTGCTAATGAAATTTCACAGCAGAAACTTGAAGCAAAGGAATAAAAAGGAAAAATAACTGAACAGTAATGAAGAAAAGTTATGAGAAGAAAAGCTGTCTTCCCTAACTGACTTATGTGTTTTAACTCACATTACATAGGAAATGTTCATGCCTTAAAAGAATCCGTATTTCTATCCGTTTCTTTCCTTTTTCAATAACTCTCTTCCTTGCTTAGAGATGAAGAGTGAAGTCGTAGAGCGTGTTGACTACTTCACTTATTAGGGAGGATGTATCAGACCCAATGCACTGATTGTTGACGGAATATCAACATGGACAGAAAAGGCTCGTATAGCATTTGCCAACTAACATCAGTTCTGGTGTGGATGTGATATCCAACTATCAATTAAAGGACATGTATACTGTACGGTGGTCTGCTCTGTTCTCTTTTATGGCTGTGAGACACCGCCAGTGAAGGCGGAACATGTGAAAAGACTAGCTGTCTTTGAACACACATATCTGCCTCCTATCTCCCGTATTATGTGGAATGAATATAATGAGCAATATTGACGTCAGGCGTACAGTGTTAGGCAACAAGTAAAACTGAATCTATGAGGTTGTGAAGCTAAATCGATTGAAATAACTACGATACGTGTTATGCATTCCAAGACACCTCTCTTGTAGTCAAGCGATGTTAGCAAATACAAGACCGAATTGGAAGACAATAGAGGTGGTGAAATCACAATACGTCGGTAATCTCTGAAGTCTGAATGTTGCTTTCAGCTAGCCAAGTATGGAAGCGTGGACTGTCTGGTTTAGGTCCTCAAGACTATCGGTGATATAGTTCAAAGTCGTTATCAGTAGTGCAGATTCAACTGCTATTTGTGATCTTCCATATTTATTAAAACTCAATGTCTTTTTCCTATTACTCTTCTTTCTCGCGCATATTTCTACTTAATATAATTCTTTTGCAACTCTTTCTCTATCTTTCCTCTACGTATGTGTACTATGTGGAGTAAGACAAATTGGACTGATGCACTTCTGTGCAAAGTTCTGTGTCGAAACTGAGTTAGTCAATCATTCACACTCTCTCTAAATGATACAATGTTTTGTTACAAAATATTTAACACACTAAAAGTATTGTTCAATGAGAATACTAATCGTCCATGGTTCTGACAACTAATAAGAATTCGCCATATATTTTACTACGAACCAACCAAGAGACAATCCCCTAACAAATATGCCGAAGGAAATCAATATAGATCGGTAACACATTGAGAAGACTGTTTTGAATGATGTCACATGCCATTCAAACCCTTGAATGGAACCTGAATGTGAAACGATGAGTTGGGCGTCTGATGGTGACATGGAAGAGATCGTGTAAAGGAGGAGATGAAAGCTTATAGGTGATCATGGTGACAGCTCATAAATAAAAATTCAGAGAAAAGGATGAAGTGGAGATGAACTGTTGAAGCCCTATGTTCCACTCAGAACCGAAAGGGAATAATAGTATTGGAAGATAATTCATTCGTTAAATTACAATTCTGTTCCTTGGATAATACATAATATTATTATCATATTCTTTACTTCCTAGAGGAACATAGGGATTCACCTGCGCGTCTCCACTGCCTTCGGTTTTCTGCCAACTTTTTCACCCCGCTCCAAGTCTACCCACACGCTTATATCTCCTCTTCACATGACCTCCTCCAAGTCACCCTCACACTGACAACCAACTCGCCGCTTCCCCTTCGGGTTCCACCCGAGCAATGGCTTGTCTAGTGATGTCACTTGATGGTTTCCTCAGCGTATGGCCAGCCAATCCATCTCCATTTCTTCCTGCCTATTTGTTTCACAATTGGTTCCTGGTTGGTTCACTCCCAGAGATCCCTATTGCTAATCTTTTCTGGCCAGCCATCTGATCTTGAGTATTGAGCGAAGACAACTGTTAATGAAGGTCTGAAGTTTGTTTGAGATGCTCTTTATGACGCGCTGGTCAAGTCTCTGGTCTGTATCGTAAGTAGCACTAACTTCACACTGGAGTTGAAAGTCCGGATGTTATTCTTCTCGCTGAGTGCTGTTGACCTCCACACAGACTTAAGAGTAATAAAGCTTGTCTTGCTTTCCCGATCCGTGCTGCTTTGATATCCTCGTCAGTTCTGTGTGCCTGTAGTTGAAACGATGCTTCCCAGGTAGGTAGGTGAAGGAGGTTGTTTCTTTCAGGTTACTCCCACTCATGCTGGCTGATTGTTGTCTGTTGTTGTTCCTGTTGGCCAGGAATCCTCATCACCTCTGTTTCATCTATGTTCATCTGAAATCCTATCTTTGATTCTTGTTGATTCCGTCAACTTGTTGCTTTTCACTTGCATATCTTCCAGTTTATGGGAAATCAGACATATATCATCGGCGAAGTCCAGATCCTACAAGTTTTTTGCGTGAGTCCATTTTATGCCTGTTTCCTCATTCCCCGTTGTCTGTCGCATTATCCAATCCACTGCAATCAGGAAAATCATTGAAGATAATAGACAGCCTTGCCTCACTTCTGTCTTCACTTCGAAGGATTCCGTAAGTTTCCCGTTGTGGATTACTCGGCATGCAGCAATGTCGTATAACTGTTGGATGAGATGTATAATTGTCGATGGGACCCCGTAGTAGCGATGTAGTTTCCAAATGACCTCTCGGTCGACATCATATACATAATATTAGAATATATCATTATATGTATTAGTCATTAGTTAAAAATGCGCTGAATTAAAAAGCAAACAGACAAACAAAGAATCATGTTTTATATGACGCGCATAGATCTGCACACGTAATAAACATACGTACACACATACACGTCAGAAAGCCACATGGCATAGCATAGTAAAAGCACTAAATCGATAAAGTACTCTCTCAAAAAATGTAGAATATATATATATATATAATCTCTGAATACGTGAAAGCGTATGCAAAATTATACACAGGTCAGCATGAATTAATTAGTGTGCTTTCATTTTTTTATACACACAGTTTAGTAAAACAAACTATTTGTACTTAATAATAATAGTAGTAAAAATAATAACTGGCTTTATTCCAAATAGGACTTTTGATAAAATATGAAATTTTCAACACAGGGTACAATGTCGTTACATACCGAGAAGAGGGAGGGGAATGAATTTACATTGACAATAATCTCAATACGAGTATAAAAGTAAAATTTTAAAAAAATTAGGTAGAAATAGTGACAAGAATATATGAATATGATAGGAAGAATAAAAGGGAGTGTTTATTTACTGTTTCGCAGTATGTTAGTAGTTTCATCATATCTATCACTTTTTGTCATGGGGTTGCATATCCCAAATATGGTCTTTATTGAGAACCTGGGGTAGGATACACAAATAAAGCTATAAGAGATTCAAGTGAAAATTGCTGAGCTTTATAATAAGCATATTCTTGAACTGAAGTACAGTGAAGTAGTACTTTGCCATTTTTTTACCATTTACGGATAAGTAACTAAAAAATAAATCTAATATTCACTAGTGACTTACTAAAGAATGAGGCTGCCTGAAGATCTAGTGTGAAGTTTAGACCAGATGAGTCCACTAAGTCGCGTATGAAGATTAATACTCACCGATGACATTGACAGGCAGTCGCCCCATATATATCACAAATTGTCACGAGTTTGAATTCGTGGCTTGGCCATTGAGTCCCATCCCAGTGGCTGAATGGTCGATAAGCTCACCTCGTCACTTAAACGTCCTGGGTACGATACCCGGTGGGGGCATGGGTGCGTACTAGTAAACGGTTCAAAACGCGAACGAAATAACTGTCCAGTACTCCCTGGTTTTCAATGTTTCTCTAGGTGGTATCAAGCCATAAGTCAATCGAATCCCTACAAACTAACACTTTAGAGAAACCTTTCTTGATGTTCTTCAAAATAGTGAGTAATTCATGAGAACACAATGTTTTGGGTAAGAATAAAATATACACAATGCTTACTTACTCTTTTCTGGAGTATTTTAATCTGTTCAGTATTAGTGACTAGTGTTTTTGCAGAATCCACGAGAACTGCTTGAAATCGATACTGCTTAAACAAATGAACGCTACTGTCATCGTGTTTTGACTGTTGAAGATCCTCCTTCAGTATTATTGGAAAAGGGAGGGAAGCTTTTGGTAAGATAGGCAATGATGATGATGAAGTTTTCTCCTGCCTTGATTTATTCAGTTTTGGACGACCAAGAAGAACCTCCATCAGATTTTATTTGCTTAGAGAAGAAAAAACAAACAAAAAAGAGGTGAACAGAAGTGAATCATTCACATGCAGAAGAAAGTACAACTCAAGAGATTAGTTGGTAAAGCCTACTCTATTTTTGCTTTACCTTCGCACTAAATAAAAATTTCCAAGATAAATGGATTAAAACGATAAATCTTCATAGAAGGATTTGAACTTAATCCAGTCATTTTTTCATTTATTTGCACTGCGAGTGGAACATAGGGCTCCAAGCTGTAAGCTTTGAAGTTCCAGTGGCGGTGGTGATGTGTTTACAGTGTGAGGTTGTTGTGTTCTCTTTCGCACACCCAACCTCCCCAGTTTTCCGGGCTTACCACCTACCTAGGCGAGGTTTAGTAGTGTGACGGCCAGGAATCGAACCGGAAAACAGGTGGGGAGTGGTTGGTTAGTATTCGAAGCCTTCAACCACTGACACAGGGGAAGAATTCAAAACCATGACAAAACAGCTGTCCTGTCCACTATTCCTATTCCTTCACATAATTCATTTTCAACTTCTACAGTTAAGTCCGAGTGTTCCCTCGTGTATAGATGCTATCATAAAATGCAGTTACTTGTCCAACTGGATACATTCAATTAAAAATGTTTATTTTTCTCTAGTGCAGAATTCTATATGAAGAGTAGTCGAATAATTACTTTAAAGAGACAACAAATTGGAGTACATTTTAAAAAATATTTTCGTAATTTATTTTTGAGGCTGAGCACATGTTGAGAATAGCGATCCAGACAAACAACTTACCGATTGACCTGGACACAATTAATAAGAATAACTTTCCTGTCAAATGGTTTCACTACACCGAAACGCTCAATCTCAGTTGACATGTCAGCTCTTAGTACGAGGCCGCCTTAGGATGAACATGATGTTGTTTGATAGATGGTGAATAGCAGTGGAATATGCAGGATTCAAATCTCATCCTAGTTTGACACTCATTATCTGAATGTACCGGTTATCTCCATTGAGTGATGGCATCCTCATTAAGGATTGAAGCCAGCATCCATCATTCCAAACACCAAACTGTGGTTAACTAGTCGGAAAAATGATAAAATATGTGTCGCACTCCAACACTGCTAGCTATCACCTGTAAAACGAACATCATATCCCTTAAGTTCAGTCAGCATACACCACATCATTAGGGTGATATTAAAATAACTTCAATAGTTTTTATCAACAGACGCCTCATTATGACAAACAACAATCAAACAAAGCGATCATATACACTGAAATACATGAAAAAGGAGTGATACGTTCGAAAAGAGGAAAACAGCTAAAATTATTTGAGATCACATGCTCCCCAATAATATTGGCTGGTGGTGGCGCTAAAAAAAGACGATTGACAGAAGTTAAAATTCGTGGACCATTGGGTCCCCTCCATGTTACTGAATCACCAACGAGCTCGTTTCACAACCGAAAGATGCTGGGTTCGGTACCTAATAGGTGAGGGTTATGGGCGCGTACTGATGAAGAGTTCAGTACTCCCTGGTTCTCTAACTGACAACAATCCGTGACCAAAATTAAAACCACTCAAATCCTTGAAAATAAAATTCATTCATGGAATATTGTAAAACGAAAAAAAGCAAACAAACTACTGAAATTAGTCAGAAAAATACTGTGGTGCAGAAAGATTAAATATTCAATGTCTTATTCTTCTAAGAGGATTCAATAGCTTGCCTTACTTCATCCCCTTCTATGCTACTATTCAAAGATCTCTCAATGAAGCAATACCATTCTACACAAGTACACATGCATACACCATTACTGGATTGATACAACATATTATATTAGCATTATTATTTAGAGATTGTAAAGCCTTGTGATTACATTTAATTATCTCGTAATCAATATTATTGTAAATTAGAACTTGTGACTACAGCATGATATTCATTCATTAAATATTAAGAGTAATTGTTAGCTAGATAGAAGTAATAATAATAATAATGATTTACTTTATTCCAAAAACAGTACTTGTGATACAGAATGGAATTTTCAGCATTAATCACAATATTGCATCTAATTTCTTCAAATTATAAATAAAAATTAATCACACAGAAAATTTTCCACATTTACAATAGAGGTATTGTCAAAAACATGCAGCATATAAAATGGAAATAAGAATAATAATGATAACAGCTAGGGTAATAATAATAAGAATACAAGTGAAAATTGCCGTTGGCTTGTGTCACACAGTATTGGCAATGTGGCATAGAAATCCTAACATGTTTAAAAATATTGAGTATAATGTTCTCTTTACATGATATGGTGAGGGGAAAAACAAAGATTATACCAGTCATAGAGATAAGTTGGTGTTTGCAATTATGAGAGTAAAACAGAGAAGTAACAGGACCATAAATATAATAGAAGTAATAAAAGTAAAACTTGAAGGTATATAAGGATGGATGGAGGAAATCGTTTATTTACTAGATGAAAAAAGGTTAGTTAATTCTTGCCTGACACTATTTTCACCACATAAAATACGTGCCAAGTATGGTATCATAGAATTTTTATACTTAGACGTGCGAGCATACAGTTTTCTGAAGTTACTCCTTGTTCTACCTGAGGAGATGCAAGGTGAAAGCTGAGGGCAAAGCGAATGCTCCAAGTCAGACAAAATCCCTTTAGCAAATTTATTGCATGAAGTCAAGTGCCTATCGACAACGACGTTAACTATGTGGTCCACTGGGACACCACTCACCCTACTGACAGTCTTCAGTATTCTACGAATTGTGACATAGTCCTTTTTAAGCAAACCAGGAAAGAATAAGGGTGAACAATAAAGAAGAATAGGTAGGATGCAAGAGTTTATGAACTGTAAGAGGAAGGGTTGAGTTATACCCGAGTGTCTTAACTTCTTAATGTAAAATGTCAGAAAAAACTTTTTCCTACAAAAAAGAAAACAAAGACAACACGACGACAATAAACTCTCACAATTTATTTGATTATGCAACTATATACATTATGTACACACATTTCATGTATATATGTATTATATATGTGTGTACTGAATCTAGAATTAAAACAATAAAAAAGTAATCACCACAGTCATCAGATATATTTACCTTTTATTATTACGATTATTATTATTGTTATTGTAATTTTATTACAACTGCCACCACCCTATTCTCTCCGACTTTTATGTATACGGAGTTAACTAACTGCTCAATATCCACGTATGACTCTTATTGAGTGAAAAAGGAATATATATATATACCCACTTATCACACACGAAGGAATACAAATAAACTTATGCTAAAATGTTTAGGATTTCGAAAAGGTTTCATTGTGAACAAATCTGACTCCTCTTACTCCTGTTAAGACGGACGTGATTTACGTTTGTACTTATACGATAACTTGATTCAACAGTTTTGAAGCGTTTATTGGAGAAAGTGTCGTGTCTTTGAGGTAGGCACATTCCAGCCAAGTTAGCCGTCATAACAACAACTATCCACCCTATGATTCATAAGATTTTGAAGAATTTCCAACCAGAAAACTTATACCTATTATAGTTAAAGTTTGTATGAATTAGTAAATTATTTTGCTCTTAACACTTTTAACTTTTTCCAACCTTATCCTACCAAAGATTGTTTAGTACAACATATGCAGGAAAATTCCAGTCATTTCAATTAATAACCATACACAATCTCATCTACTGACTTATCTTCTTTATCTGCTATCTTTATCTTTACAATATTTCTCAAAACAGTATTACTTGCCATAACGTTACACCTAAAGATTCCGAAGTGAATCGACATATCCATGGTAATGCCTCACATAAACAAAAAAAATCGAAGCATAATATGCATATGACTATGATAGATAGCCAGATACCTTGTATCTTCTATATATGTTGGAAATCGGCATATACCAAACGTGTCCTTGTATGCTGAAGTTTCATCTAAAATCAATCTAATGGTACTGACATTCCATCCCAGATACTTGAAGTCATCAGTACACCTGAGTATTTTATTCTTTATCTTTTCATCCTAAAGTCAATACAACCTGTCGTGTAAATCCATCCTACATATCTTATACCAGTGTAAAACTTTCAAACAGTCAGAAATTTGTCATTATCTCCACTCGAAAGCACTGTATTTTCTTTATTCATCCTGACGACCTCTGAGATATACGTTTCTTAACACACAAGCGCGTAACAAATAAGCATTTATGAGAAGAGTCACTTGTTAGCCTTTATCTCACTAAATCCTGAATACCTTTCAGTGGCAACATTTCTGACTACAGCACTAGGTGACCTGGTTCAATTCGCAGAAGAGACATCAGTTCTTTCAAGGTCGCAGATATGTCTTACTGACGAATGTCTTCCGAATGCCCCCAACCATCTAGCAAAACGTATAATACATACAAATGACAAAAAACGTCAATTTGGTATAGAACATCTGAAGAACATATAATTCAGCAAATATATCACTTTTCGCAGCATCAGCTCAAAGGTGTAAAATTATTGAGGGGGGGGGGGCGGGGGTGTTCATAAATAAAATATTAGTTGACAGCAGAAAGATCTCTTGTCGATTTATGTGTTCTTAATTACAAAGTGACTGTGTGATACAGACAGTGTGTGTCAATAGAATATTATTCTCACATATTCCTACAGTTCAATTCGACATTAGCAACAGAATACCATGTATATTTGAACATTCTACTTCATGTCCTTTAATGTAAACCGAAATCACACGCTCAGTGATTGGTTAGAGAATATAAATTGTACATATACAGACAGCGGTTTGATCAGTGAAAAATATGCCTTGGCTTCCGTCTCTTGCCTTCTGTTGGTACAACATGATATGGGAATTTTTTATACAATTTCTGAAAAACATAAAAGATAATTCATCGGTCTGGTTTCAACTCTCGGATGAGGAACTCCTTAAACCTCACGCAGACGGTTGTAGCCCCAGAAAAGAAGCATGAAGTCACCAACCCCACCCGTAAAAAACACTACAAGCACTAAAGAAGCTTAAAAGTCGAAT